CCTTATCATGATTAATTGTTGCATCTCTCCACATTGTATTGAATTGTAAGATGAAATATTTGAGTAAGTCGAAGAGTATATTTAAGATGGATATTCATAAACATTAGATTATGTATGAATCAATATCTGCTTGACATATTTAACATAAACAGTTCTAAATAGGGATAGCTTAGGGTTTATCTATTATATATAAATTGAGCATATACATGTCAAATTTTGAAAATATGGATTAAAATGAAGTGAAAAAAATTCTAAAATTACTAAAAAGTCTTAAAAATTATGATATATTAGACAATATATATTCCTTGCTAAACAACGTTAATGATTACTATGAACAAGATTTGGATGAAAAAAAATATACAACATATTATACTTGTTTACACTTGATGATGAATGCATTAGTCAGAATTTTCAAAACTGCTTAGTTCGATTCACAACAAGGTTGAAAATATAGCAGCAACAGAAGCAACAAAAAAAACTATTTTAGTAGAATGACCTTATCATTAAGATGTGATTGAAAAAAATTGTGAATCAAAATGTATTACATTTTGTTCCAAATCAACTGAGAGAAAAAAAATTGAAACATATTGACATCAAGTATCACTTTATCAAAATTTAAATAAAATTTTTGATCTGTAAAAAATAAACAATGAATTTAATCCAGCTAATGATTTGACCAAAGTTTTTTTTAAAAAAAATAGAATAAGAATACATTACGTTATCATGCACAATTTTCATGAAAAACACAAATGAAGTTTACTATTCTTTTACTCTATCATATTTTGGTTACGGCTTCATATTTTGGTCACGGCTCTAGTTTAAAGAGGAATCTATGTTGAGTTTAATTCTATAATTTTTTGCAATGAAATTATATGTATTATGAAGTTTATTGCCTATATTATTTGAGTTAAGTAAAAGATTATTAGTATAAACTCAATCTACAATTTATTATAGCTAGCTTGATCCTATTTAGTATTAAAGTTAGGATTTTTTTTCCACTTTATAAGATTGAACAAATCATAATTTGCATTGAACATTTTAAATTTTAGTAAGACATTTTTGTCTTTATGATCATAACTTCATAATGATAAACCATGTATATATTTGTTAGGCATCGTGTGTCTCTAAATGTATGTTTCTATGTTTGAAGTTTTTTGTTTTTTATTTTTTATTTTACCATCACTAGCAAATAAACTTATTCCTAGTGAATTTTTTATGCAAAAAATAAAAAATAATAAAAAATCTTCAAAAGTCATACATCATCAACATTCTTTCATGTAATCCAGAAGACATTTAGCTCACTTCATAGTCTATTTCGAGCAAACTTTCATCCTCAAATTAAATTTTTGAGCCATATTGGATCATCAGTTTTGGTTGTCAAACAACAATTGTTTTTTAACATGACCATTGCTTTTTTATGATCATTTAACACATCACGTTTTTAACAAATTACCATCTTACTGTTTGAAATGTCTTTCTATATATTTGTATCTAAATATAGATCTTAGGCTTTTTCCATATTCCATTTTTTAATTTTGACCATTCTTGAATCACAAAAATGTCATATTAGATGAAATTATGAAGTTTATGTTATCAGCAGTTAACAAAGCAATTACAACTTTCTTATAACTTATTATAATTTAATCTATTATAAAAAACATAACTAATAAGAATCCATAAGAATTATTTAATAAATTTAAAAGATGAAACATATTTCTCACTTTTTTTTCATTCTAAAAATCTAAATATTTAATTTAAAATAAATATTATTGGAAAATTTTATAACAAAAAAATTCATCTTGAAATTCATCAACTTCAATGAGCCATACAATTTTTTTGAAAATTTTTTGCAAAAAAATTGTTGTTGAAGAACTTTAAACAACAAAATATAATTGTCAAACTCATCCATTTGTTTCAAAATTAAAAGTTGCAAATGATTTTGAATATCATAATTTTCATGACATGCTTTTGAATATAATTCTAATACTTTCGTTAAAGGTTTAGAAATTGAGCTTCAACATCTTATTTCAATAATTATCCTTCAATTTACATTGGATTTGTTTTATACTTCATAGCAGATAATTATTACATATTTTACAATGTTATATTTCAATTTGTCTTTGACTTGATTTATTAACGCATATAGTCATCACATCCATTATATTTTGTTCTGTCATATCTAGCTATACTAAATTACATCATACATCTATCAGAACCCGATTTTGGATGTTCATGTCCTAACCCATTCATGCCATGGATTATGGATGGGTTTTGGATGAGATTATTTTTCCCTGGGTGGGCACAAGTAATGCTAAGTGCAGTGTTTGTCAAGATACAACCAACAATTTGTGTAATTTGAATAGCATGGGTGGACATGGTCGGGCACAGTTAATGCTATGGGTGTACATGGGTTTATTTTGACAAGACCTGATCATTCCAAGAGGGAAAACATTCCAAATTTTCCAAACTGAGACGATTGTATTTCCCTCATGAATGTTGAAGAGTAAATTGATCATTTTAGTTTTAATGATGTGAAACAAGAAAAAACAATGTTTCAGATGGAGCTAATTTTTGAAAATAGAAATTGGAGTAACAACTTATCATTGATGAACTTTAAAGAATTGAATAAGATGATAGAGATCAACCAGTATTGTTTATTAGAATATTATTTTCAAATCAAATTAATATAACTCTTAAAAAATATAGATTATGGGACATGCCCATGCCCTAAAGATAATCACATTGAGAATGACATTGGTGAGAGCAATCCTTTGAACTTGGTAGAAACAGAACAATCTTTTTTATAAGAACATCAAGATTCTGTCAACAAGCTTATTTGAAACATTATTATGGAGCGTGAGATGTAATTGTATGCATAACAAGGAGTGGAAGCAATAAACATCCAAGAAATCAAACTTTGATTAATAGCAAATGGATGATACTCATTGAAATATAAACCTATACACAATTTATATCAATCATTGTTGTGTTCGCTCTTCTTGCCATAATTTACTAATTTTATTAGCATGTAAACTCCTAATTATAAACTGGTTTACATTGGTTATATTCAAATCTAATGTGTACAATTTTTGCTAACAATGTCTGTCTCCCGCTCAAGTACGCACCTTGAACCCTAAACTTTTGTGCGTACTTAGCCGGGAGATGCGTACTTTTCATTTCCAGATCATTTGCGTAGAATTTCCATGTTTAAAAAATTGAATATCAAATGCCTGAACTAGTGCCGACTATGTGAGATCATTTCAAAATTGGTAAAGTAAAATATTCCAAGCAAAGTCACTTTAGTGAGTGAGTATGAAATTAATGAAACAATTTTCTAAGCCCTCTTCTGGAGAGGGCTTAGAAAATGAATCCCGAGTGCCATAGATCTTTCGGATCTTTGGCATAGAGCTATTATTTTTGTGGTTTTCTGACTATTTTCAAACATTTCCTTTCCCCTCCCACCCCTATTTAATAATCATGCACCATATGATACTTCCAATTGTCAGATGATCATTTTTGCGCTAGATGTGTCATGATATGAAGTAGTAAAAAATTAGATTGTTGGAACTAGATATTTGCATCTCGGACTTTTCCCAACCTTGCCCTTGATCGTTAGATTTCTCTCGCTTGACTTCCCTTGCCCCGGCGCATCGAACGGGGAAGTAGTCTAATCTCGACTGTGAAATTTACAATGAAATCTCTAAATATGTTGAAATCTTTGAAATTTACATTGAATTCACTGAAAATGTTATCTGTGAAAATCTTAGTTGGTATGCAAATCTTATGATCAAATGCGTACTTAGTTGGGATGCGTAACTAAACGGGTGCGTAGTTAAGTGGGAGGTTAATGGCTAAGCTTCAAGCTGAAGAAATATGAGAAGTATGTAGTTCACCTTGTTTTGGTTTCCAGTACACGTGCATTCAACTCTTCATGTCGGATGGTTGGCCGCATTGACTTTGAATTGCTTGAACCCCAAGTATTCTCGTGGACCTTTCTGGTTGGTGATGCGGGTTGCACAAACCGAAGGGTTCCGCCGAGGTGCTGCGGACACAGAGTAGTTTAGAAAGTAAAAACACGAAAAGCGAGGTTACATGTCTTGGACGTATCTTTCGTTGTTTCATTGTTGGGTATCATTAATATTGGTTGGTACTAAGTCCAGGTACGAGGTTTCGTGAAATCTACGACCTACTTGTGTAAGATGGCAACCACATTAATGGCCCTCAAAATATAACTTCTCCTTAACCATGAAAAGATTACTCCAATCAATCTTTCCTGTTGGATTCTGTGAAGGAGTATCCAATTCTGTTTACGCTTTGTATGAGATGGCCACCCTATTTTCGATCGCTTCAGGCTCAAACTTTCCTCTAGAGTACCAAAAGTTAATTCATTAAGATATTTAACATCTTGGTCTGAGAGTCTTTTGAGGTTATTCTCTTCACCTGCAATAGGACAAAAATATAAATCTCTGAAGAAAAACCTTACGCAGATATTCTTATAAAACGTCCTCTATCCGAGAATTGGCACCATCTGGACTTCATGTGACTGCTAGAATTGGATGTTTGAGGCTCTACATGTAAAAAGCTAAGTTCATATAGGTGGAAAATGCATGTCTCTAACTTCGTCATCACTAACCACTTTGGCAGATAATGATGGCAAGTTCTTACTTAGAGAATGGATTAAAAACCACTCGTAAAACTTGCCTTTTAAAAGACTCATCAATCTGCAAATTTCATCGACTCCATTTGCTCACTTCTTTAATCTCTCAAGCCATTGTTTGGCTTGAACATCGCTCCGTACAGTTCGAGGACGCTTCTCCTCAAATTAGATAAGTGCATACCTACACATCTCAAGGGAACTTTCAATGGGGCCTCGGTTAGATCAGAGGTTATTACCACATTGAAGTGATCTAAACATGATCTGATATGACCTTTTAGCATAGAACAACCAATGTCACTTCTCTCCAAACATTACTAAGTTTTCCGGTGCAAATGAGCCATAACTAAAATCCAAGGCCTCGATGAAGGTAACGTAGATTAAAACAGTTTGATTTCCAAGTTCAACTATCAACAAGTTACAGATTTATTTCTATCACCCATCCACGTGTTTCAGAGAAAGCTGTCGGAGAAAACCTTATATAGCGAGACAGAGACTGAAAGACATTTCACGATATAGATCATGGCCTGCAAATCTCTGAGAAGCTCCCTTCTCACATCTGCAGTAACTGGAGGGCACGTATAACAACACCGGATATTCTTGTACCCTTAGAGGGCAGTTGGTCAGTTTAATGCTTCGGGCTTTAGTACGATAATTTACAAATAAGACGTCTACCATGAAAATGAAAGAAAGACCAATTACAGAACTTCCTGAGTGGGAATTTGGGGAACATAGCTCTGAGGGATGTATCTCTCCCAAAAGGACTCTCCCCTACAATGGTTTGCAATCACTTGGTAAATATCAATAAGAAGACGTGGAAATCTGCTACTGAAGTACTCGTCAAGGCCGGCTGGAACAGGTCCCAATAATGCCTGCAACAATGAGAACAAGGAACATGAGACCATATGCTTTATGAACGAAGGAACATCACTCCATACTGATTAGATCACGATGGCCCAGAAAATCAAAAAGAGGAGAATCGAAGCGCCACTCATCTTTGATGTTACAATTACCTGCAGCTCCTCATCGAGTTCTCTAAAGTGGTTAGCCTTGTTTCGAATTACCCGGAGCAAATCCCTCACACTATGAAAGTTGTAACGCCGATAACCTCGAATGTTTTGCAGCAATGCTTGGTCTAGCTTGGCATCCCATCCACCACATAAAACTGATGGCTCTAAACATTCCAGCTCTGTCATCAGAGTGGAATTGGGATCCTTAATTTCCAGCTCTACTCGATCACTGACGTCCTTCAAGAAACTCAAGCGTTTCTCAGAGTCCCAAAAGAAGGGATGTTGAAGTATATCTTGGGCTGGAGGTCTCCTTGATGGTGAAGGATCCAAAAGTCTCTCAATCAATTCTGTAGCCTCTGGGAAGTCAACAATAGAAAACAAATCCATCTTCCCAAGAGTGATGTTTCTATCTCGGTCTAGATGGGAACCAAATGGATGACGTCCTCCGGTAAGGCAGTGAAATAACACGCAACCAAGACTGAAAACGTCAACTGCTCGAGAGGCCCTACCTCTGAGCAACTGCTCGGGGGCTTGCCACCCGCGACTTCCTGAACTACCATAAGCTGTAAGATGAGTATCAAATGAAGATGCATCGTCATCCAGCTGTTTACTCAGTCCCATATCTGCAATCTTTGCTTGCATGATGCGCCCGCTGCTAATCAGCACATTATGCGGCTTGAGATCTCTATGTACTATCCCAAGTGCGTGAAGATGCGTCAACCCAGAGACAATGTCCTTCATGATTTGAAACAATTCTCCAGATGGTCGACCTTTCTCGTCCCAAAGCTTAAAATCTTCTACGCTCCGAAGCTTCAAGCCTTTTCCTGCTAAATTATCCTTCATCTGACTAGCCAAGTGCGATACCTCCTGCGAGGTCTGTGCCAGAATTAAGTCATGCAAACTGAAACTGCACCTCTCGAGAGCCACATACACGAAGTCCGCGGTTTCTTCCATTGCATAGTACCGCACCACATTCGGATGTTCATCTGATGCGATGAGGTGAGCAATCTCTTTTTGTGCCTTTTCGTAGTACTGGCCAAGGAGTCGCTTCACAGCAACGTTCCTATCATCCAGATAGCCTTCAAGGACCAAAGTTCCATGGCTGCCGGACCCTATCATTGTTTTAGTAACAAACAAACGACCAACCTGTGTTCCAACGCCATATTTTGGTTGGGACTTGACTCTGATTGAACCTATCTCGCTAAACTTCTCAACCAAGGGCACAAGTTCCAGACCCCCGTTTGATGTCAGTGTCTCCTGCTCCTTAGCAGCAGCTTTTCGACCTTTCTTCTTCCTAGGTGGAGTGGGAGCAGGCACAAGGACTTGTTTTTTTGTTCCCGGTGTCTTGAAATATACGCCAACAACAATAACAATGGCAATGGCGAGAAGAGTTGCCAGCGACTTCTTGAGATTCGGATAGGGAGATTCTGGTAGTCCATGCAGGTGTCCCTGTGAGACATACTCATTACCTGGAGCTATCTCACTGTTATGGGCTTGATCGTCCCAAAGAGAACGGCCAGGTAGAGCTAGAGGTGGGGAGGTGGAAGGTAGAGAAAGAGGCCTTTCAAAACCGTGGCGGTACTGCTTTTCTGGAATAGCCAGCCCTGGTGGTCCTTTGATGGACCTGCGTAAAACTGATGAGGGTATCTGGTACGGTTCTCCTGGTCGTGGAGGTGGCATCACAGGCAGCAGTCGAAGATAAGCCATATCGGTATCAGGTGTCTCTGGTCCCGTAACTAGCGTTCCAACTTCTCCATACTTCAGGTACCAGATTGACCCACCCGATAAATTGCTAGCTTTTGCAGTATAATCGGTGCGAACAACAAACAGAGACTTTCTCTCATCCTGGAAATATAACTCCGATAAATTGTCCCTGCCTAATTCACGAATAATTTCTCCAGTTTCTGCATCCACGAGAAACACCGTGGTCTGCCGATCAATCTGTATGATTTCCCCTTCCCTGACATGGAGGGTACCTTCACGCAAGTCCTTCAGAGTGATCCGAAGCTTCTGCTTGATGACACAAGGAACGGAGCATAATCACGTCGGGCAACGGGAAAGATATGATCAAAGTGAAAGCCACGGCTACCCACAAAAAGTGCGAAAAAGATAGAGATAGAATGGACTCGAATAACGCTTCTAGTCCAAGCGGATTACCACGTCCAAACGAACTCCCGAATTGTGGGTGATATAGCAGGAGAGTGGGGTAAAATAATTTAGAGACCAACATACTTTCACATATTTGCAAAAGAAACTAAAGAACAAGGAGCTTCCAGGTAAGACTAGCATGGCCTACCTCGGTTCCTCCATATTCGCCTTTAACGTACAAGCTGTCATCCGCCTCTTCAATGAAGAGGGTTCCTTCTTCGGCAACTTGTTCTGAAATTCCGGTTCCAGACTTGCTACCATTATCAAAAGTCTCTTCTTCGTAAAGCCAGTGGAATGACTGCAGAGGAGGTCCAGAAGAGAAAGACCACCGAGGAGCTAGCGCATTCACGGAATGCTCGTGAAGCATATTCACGTCTCCGTTGGTCGTCGTTACGAGCAATGACGTAGGTCTGCCGCAAAGCAGTTCTGTAAACGTTAATCAATGCATGGTATAGAACGAGCTAATGCGCGAGAAAAGTCCAATCCCGAAAGACCATAAAGAAGGCTTACGTTTCCACAAGAGCTTGCGATTCATTGAGAAACCATATTTCTGCTGACGATCCATGATCCGATGGAACAAATGATGGTGAGTGGGGCTCCCCGTCCGACGCCAGAGCGGCAGTGCTCAGGAGAAAAGTCACAACGAAAGCAAGAACTTGCGCATATCTTGAGGCGATCTCTGGAGCCATCACTTACACTCTCTCAGAGAGAGAGAGAGAGAGAGAGAGAGAGAGAGAGAGAGAGAGAGAGAGAGAGAGAGAGAGAGAGAGAGAGAGAGAGAGAGAGAGAGAGAGAGAGAGAGAGAGAGAGAGAGAGAGAGAGAGAGAGAGAGAGAGAGAGAGAGAGAGAGAGAGAGAATTCAAGTTCTGACAGACGAACAAACCAAAACTCCAGCAATCTGTTCACGGTGGTGAGGTACTCATAGAAGCTTCGGATAAAGCCGAGAGCACAAAGGGATTCGTTGCATTGCGCTGAAGATGAGAGACAGAGGAGTGGAAACGTACGGTAAAAGGATCTGACAGTGATGCCATGACAAATGGCTTAACAAGCAGATCTCAAAGTGCAGAATACATGACGAAAAATATCCTCGTTAAAATAATGAAAGTGAAAATATCCAAGAAACTAGAAGATGATGAAAGCCAGTACAAAAGAGAATCTCAATCGCGAAGGCAGGCAAGACCTACTGGACTGTTCCAACCGATAAGATTCAAACTATGGCGAAACACGCACATAACCATAGACTCTAAGCAGAAAATCCATTGACGCTATTAATTATGACAAACATTCAGTTCTCAATCTCTCGTTCTACACGGAGACAGTTTTCTTTGCTATCATATTGCAATTGCCTAACCAGTTGGAATCCTCACAGACGAGCCGATCGAGAAAAGGCGACAGAAGAGTGTCTAGCGAGAAAATGATCTGACAGACATGTCGCTCGTCAAAATCTCCTGCATTTGCAAAGCTGTGGCGCTCCATCAAACCTCGTTCGTTGTCCCTGCCTATCCTTCTTCACTCCAATCACCCAAACATCTAATGTGGACCTACGGACTCTAGAGATAGACCAGAGCAAAGAGTCAAGCGTCCATACGCGCGAAGGGTCAAGCCTGCACCTGGATAGTCCCCGACGGAAAGTTAACCGGGAAAGTCCAAAACCGCGTGAATCCTGCCAGGGAATCGATGGACTACGCCAAACATGTACTGCGTTGAACTCCGACTTACATCAGTAAATAACAATTGACTGTGTAGATAGTAATCGTTTGTTCAAGAGATCCGGTGAAGAAGTCAACGAGGTGGCATTCAAATTCAAAACTTTCATCACTCCTCATGTACTGAAAGTCTTATTTCACACAAGCAGATTTTAAATAGAATCGGTTCATCAAATGAACAAAGTAAACCTAGTGCTATCTGAAAATCAAACGTAAATAGAATTAAGCTTGATGGAAGACCAATCAAGCCTACTAATCATGGAAGCAAAAGTATGACTAGCATCTATACCCGTCTCTCTCTTCGCCAAACGGCTTTCTCTTTGGTGTCCGTACAAAAAAAAATTTCCACCCAAATCTTAAGCGACTGCTTTAATCCATGAAGCGCCACGTTGGCAAAGATCCTGCCGGTTATACTAATGCATCTAAGATATTCTATTTACTTAATTAAATGTTTTTTAACAAAAAAGAATGAGTTATTGAAAAATTTGCATTCATGATATATGTCCCAGTTTATAGCATTGCTTTGTGTAATATTAAAAACTTGTTGACTAGACTAAATTGTACGAGAATATAAATATATATCTATTTTTATCTTAAACAAATTTCATTACAAACATTTCAATACTCAGATACATAGTGTTGTATGATCACTTAAAAAAATCTTTTTTTTGGAATAATCTATATAAACATATGAAGAAAATTTTCATGAAAATCAACCTGAAAATTTATCCCTTATACAATAATTGATTTCAACTTATAGATCTATCATGGTTGGATAAACATGAATCTTATTATATTTATAATATTAGTTTTAAAAGCAATGATACACATATCAAAATAGTAAAACAATTTTCTTCTTCATAATATATATATAGAATATAAGTTTATTTTTGTAATAAAATTTCACTGCTATATTTTAATCTCCAAGTATGTAGATGAATTTTCATTACAGAAGCTTATATATTTCAGAAGTCAAAAATATGATGGATATCAAACTTGATTATCATGACAATTTATTTTTTCTGTTTATTTCTAATGTATGGTATTGAATTATGTAAGTCACACACTTTTTGGAGAAAAAATCATAAATTCACGAGCACACACATTGAAGGGCTGACACTTGAGTCCTCCTATGTGGATTGTCACCTGAGTATGGTTTCTTTTGACGTAGTTCACAAAAACACTAAAAAGATGAAAGCTTACAAGATCCATTAAAAGCTTTGGCTAGCTATTCTTGAAAGTGACGGCAAACCGAAATCCTAAGTAGGCTTAATCAATCTAATTTAAAATCGACATAAATAACTACAAACAATACACTTTTAGATTAATGTTGTGAGTATAATAACCTCTAAATACAAATTCACTTTTAACCTAGAGCTAATTAGAACTTAATCGTCATCAAACAAGAATAAGTAAAAATACACTAATGTTATAAAATTTTGTGGTAAATTTTACTTATGTTTATCTTGCAAAATATCACAATATCTCTTTAAACTTTTCAAATAACAAATTTTGATTCACAAATTTACTAGATTGAATTTATTGTCAATCTTGATAAGTTCAATACTTCTATCAAAAATTGCATTTTTGATAATGTGATATGTAATGTTTATATGTTCCAATCTATTTTTCATCTTTTGATTTCTAGCTAAATGCAACTCATTTTGACTATCACAATGAAATTTGACCAATTCTTGTTTGAATTTAAACTACGCATTTTTGCAAAATAAATCTTCAACTTATGCACCCATCACCAAATGTAAGCACTAACAAGTTGTAGTTTTACTCTTGTTTATATTTGTTCATAGTAATCATCAACCTAACCTAGCAAGATTTGTCAAAGATTTTTTTATAAGACATCAAACAAAATATGATAATACTTAATACTCTTCATGTAACTAAAAATTCATTTCATTGCTTTTCAATCAATTTTTTGGATTTGAAATGTATATGTTCACCTTATTGATTCATAGTCTAATCAATATTATGTCTTGTGCATATGATAAAATACATGAAAATGTACATAGTTTTGTCATATGAAATTAATGACATATTTTACTTTTCAATGACATTGTTTGATCATTAAATTGCACATAGTCTATAAAAATCAATGCATGATAATTTTGTATTTTTTTTTCAAATATTCAACAGAAGGAAATATCAGAAAATTAAGTGAGTTTACTTTATTAAATGAGATCAATCACTAAATTAAATGATCAGTACATTTAATTCAAGATTTTAAGATCTATTGTCCAAAATGAATTAGATCTTGTAGCTTATGAAAATAAAAATATTTTGTTTCTAATCCAACAAAATTGTTGAAAAGTGTTTGTTGGAAACTAAAACCTTCATTAAAATAATTTTTTTACCAATTATTTATCGATTATGTATTTGTTTAAGATATAATATAAATACATAAAAATTCAAATTATACAATAAAGTTAAAGATTTTTGAATTGCATACATTTATAGTATCATAATATTAAAATTTCAAATTTATAATTTTGATCTTGAAATTGAATTTATGATTTTCAAAAATATCTAACGGCAAGTTAATTGATTTTGTAAATAAAAAAATTAAAAAAAAAAACATAGCAACATGAATAAACAGACACACCTGTAGATACAAGCAACACATGCAAACACAAATTACTCGGAGTCTACGTATAAGTGATTTGACTTTTTTTGCATTGTGCTCAAGGAAACAAGATGTTTGATTAATATTCAAAACATTGTTCAATGCTAGTTACGGCTTGAATTTTCATATATAGTGCGTAGCAAACATAATAAATTTAATTCTATTTATGACCAAATTTAAGTCTAATTCTAACACAAGTTAAGATTACTCAAAACTTGATTTAACAAGAATATATCCACCGTATCATAATTAAATTTACCAAAATTAATCAAATGTCAAATTATGTTTTAAACACAATTTCAAAAATAAAAATTAATATAATAATCTAACGAATGTATATATATATCAATGTATATGAATAGATGTTTCATTTTATCACAAAACAAATTGTATATGAAGAATTAATGATTTGCTTAATACTTCCACAAATTATGATTTTAATCTCACAAAAGATAAATCTTATTGAAATTGAAATTTTATTTGCTTAGATACTTGCATAATGCAAAACACTTATTAGTAATTGACGTCATTCATTTTATCCAATGGGTATACGTTGACGTTCCTTCAATACATCGTGACTCATGTTTCCATACAACTTTTTGTTACTGCTTTGATAACAGTTCCAACAATCATGTTTTTATGTTTGATTTTTGCACTTAACTATGGATTATGATATAACTGATCTGAATAAGTAAAATTGATTGCATTCACTTGTGTTGGAACATAAGTGAATGCAAGATAACTTGAGATGTTAGAAGTGAATTTTGCGAATTTCATGCTTTGGGTTCATGTAAGAGATTAGGAGTGCGTTAATAACCTACTACGATAAACTAGAATTATCAACTCGTCACATATCAACAAGCCACTTTAAATACGGAACTTTATCGATGAAGTTACGTATTTTGTTTTCAAGAAGTTACGTATTTCAAAAAATAATATTTATTTTCATCATCTACTTGGCGGAGCTATAGAGTGATAAAAGTTCAACATTCTAGTTCCATTCCACCGTTTCCGGCTGTTAAAAACTTTCAAACAATTGTTTCGGTTAAAAAAGCACTCGCATCCATTATTCAATTTAATTACAATTTTGGTAATTTGCTCCCTAAACTCCGATTGATTCCACCGAACACGCTACAAAGTGACCATACAAAGTTGTAGGTTGCAAAACTCCATTTCAACAGAATCATGCGCATTGCAAGTCATGATACTCAATCCTCAAAGAAACTTGCTAAAATTGATTGGTTGGATTGGCTTGAATTTCTGGATGTTTTGGAAGCACATATGTTTGCATCAAGATTTAAAGTTTGCCGCCAAATTTTAAATAATGTTTGGCAGACCAAAAAACTTACTCTAAAACAAAAATTCCTTATTTCGGAGCGTCAAAAACAAAAATTGCGGTGGCCAAGACAAAAACATAAAATTGCGGTTGTATTTCCACTCTACGAATCTCGGCCACCTTGCTTTTATTTTCATTAGATCCTATCTTTTCGGCAGCTTAATTGGAAACAATCGCACTTTGCAATCTAAGCAATGTCGAAGTTAAACCAGGCAAGTTCTAACATTCTGACTCCTATTTTACCTCATGAATTTGCAACTTTGAAAACAACTTCTGAAATATTCAACAAAACTACATTGATCAAATAGTGAATTAACACAAGCAAATGCACCATGCCTTAACTCGTTTGACATACATATCTTATCTGATTTTAGTGAAGTTTGGACTATTTCAAGAATTTAGTTTAATCATGGAGTTCTTTGTAGGATTAGCATGTACATTTCTAAACACTACCATCTTAGAATCTATTTTTCAATGTTGAAATGGAAAAAGGATTTTCATATATTAAAAAAACATCCATATCTCTCAAAAGTGTACTCAAATTCAAACTTTTTTAAGAAAACAAGAGAGTTTTGTACTAAAGTCTGTATGTTCCCTATTTTATTTTGATGATAATCCTTTTGTTGAAAAACGAAAATACGGAAATTTTCCTAGATAGAGGCTTGCATATCAATGGTCCAAAAATCCTCGACGTAATGACTTTTGCTAACATTTCCGATCAAAACTATCACTATGCTTTTATTCATAGTAGTCTCTTTCTCATCGCAAACTTCCCTTACATTGGTTTCGTACTCAGGCACTAAGTATTCTCTTTGCTCTGTTAACACTCTGAACGTCAATTTTGAAATCACACACATGTTACAAGAATTCGTACGGGAATATGGGCGACGATGAATGGGTAAACTGAATCGTGTTAGATACCATAAATTGTTTTGAGTTATTTCGAAAAGTTAATGCCCCATTTCTTCAAGCCAGTATTCTTTCATCTGAAAGGAAGGTGGTTAGATTTATTTACGGTCAATTCAATAGATTTGGTTGGCCCAGTGAATTGATTTGTCATTCTGTTCGAGGGCAGTAAAATACTTCTACTGGAAGCAGACGATTTGTTCAATGAACTGCGAGGGATATGAAACTACGTTGCAGGAGAGAACCCGAGGAACCACAATGAGCTCCCTAAGGATATGGGGAGTAAATCTTCGTTACCAGGTACTCCTTCGATTCTTCCTCGACCTTCTTTAAGGTAAAGGGGACTAGTGGACATCGAAAATAGACGGGAAGGTTAAGGATGGGAAAGAATCTCCTTTCTGTAAAACAGAGTATAACTTGCTCGTCAGTGTAGACCCAATTTACCCGAAGCTAATGTCAGAAAGCTTCCACAAATTCACACAGCGTCGTCAGTGTAGACCCAATTTACCCGAAGCTAATGTCAGAAAGGTTCCACAAATTCACACAGCGTCCAAATTGTCTTTCGAACTCGAGGCCCAGAATCTAAATAAACCCAGATCAAAAACAGAAGAGTCGCAATTTTTTCTTAAGAGGTGCCGTACATATTGTGTAAGTTTGTGTATATTGTGGGAAGTAAGACGAGTTGTCTACTTCACTCCAGCTCGGACAACGCTACTTACCTAACCTTTCTGGAATATTTTCTTAAAGAAGCGGTTACTGTATCTCCCAGACACTTCTCGTTCGCAAGAGGATTCCAAGCCTTCAGTTGAAATCTCCAAAGATGAAGACCAACTGTGATACGAATTCAAAATGAAATGAAGACCTATCCAACTGCTTCTTGCCGAATTGGTTCCTGTTTCGACGTATTTTGCGTCTATGCGAATGCACGAACTCGCTGGCTAGTTGTAGAAAAGGAGTTGCTTGACCCGGCAGAAATCGACACTGAAATTTTGGAGACAGTAGACCTCCGAGATGGTTTTGAAACAGAAAGCTATGAAGCAGAAACCCCGAGGGAAAAGCAGTAGCAGTTGTTACTGCATGAAACTGATTAAGCTTTCTTCTTTTCTCTGCTTATTACTCATGCTTGCCAACATTGCTGCCGGCCTGGGCTACGGCAATCCGAAATTTGGCAGAAAGATTCAGCGTACATGGATGCTTCTGCGTTCGTGGAAGTTATATCGTCTCTTTCACTACAACTATCTGCATCCGGAGTGTCGAAAAATGTCCTCATCTTTCCAGGATGCTTTCAATCAAACGCTGATCGCATACGCAGGATATAACAAACAGGAAGCCAAGTCTAGCGACAATCTAAAACAATTACTGGACGGCAAATTTAGAGTGATGTTTGACAGACGGCTTCACAAACCCATCTATTTTCAGCATAGAGCTACGTTTCGTCAAAGGTTGAAAATGCTAGCTATCAACTTTGGTATGAGCTTCGAGCCCAAAGTCCTGCAAGAACTTTTGGAGAAGGTCAAGGAGCCTATGGACAATCACTTTCAGCGATTGAACTACTCAGGCGTAACACCAGGAGCGCGTTACAAGACCTGCGCAGTCGTAGGAAACAGCGGTGAAGTTTTAAACACGACACGTGGTTCTTTTATAGACAGCCACGAAATGGTGATCCGCATCAACAATGCAAAAGCAAGGGTCTCCGCGCCAAGTTTAGCAGATTTCGTAGGTTCCAAGACTACTTTGATGTTTATGAACAGCCACATTCTACACCAATGCTCTAGGAACTGGAAATGCTCCTGCCATCCTTATGGATCGGAAGTGCCCATAATGTTGTACCTCAGTGACATGGAGCATGTGCTGGATGTCGCTTACTGCGGAAAAGAGCATATCGCTCCTCTGTTTCTCACAGATCGAAGGTTTGACATGCTCGTTGAGAAAATTGGACGATGGTATTCTATCAAACAATTTATTCAAAAAGGTAGAGCGCAGAAATTGGCCGAGAGGAAACTCTGGGAGCTCTTCAAACAGTGGGAGAATGTACATAGGAGAGATTATCATTATTCGTCGGGGCTGCAAGCGGTTGTACTTGCTCTCGGGCTCTGCGAACAGGTTCATCTCTTCGGCTTCGGCAAAAATCCCAAGTTTCAGCATCATTTTCACACGAAGCAACGAGCTGAACACTACAGTCATGATTACGAAGCCGAATACTTATTCTACCACGATCTCGAAAAAAAGAGCATTGATGCAAACCCCTTCTTGTGTGAGACGGCAACTCAAATTCCACCGGTTCATGTCTTCCGCTGAGTTATGAAACTTAACGGACTAAATCAATTGCCGCCGATTGGACTCTGCAATTTTCGTTTGCTCCCGCTGGTCAAACATTGCTCCGCTTTTCCTTGAATCACGTGTATATCCTTGTGGCTCGAAAGCGTCAGGCGAAACACGAGGTTTATAGTGTGCGACATTTGAATTTGTAGCAAACGCGAGCTTAAATGTGATTTCAGTGTATATTCTCTACGAATTCCGGCGGAAAGTTGTAATCTGAGAAGTTATAACAAGTTGATGAGGATGATAGATTAAATATGCCAGCTCTCGGGAATAATTGCTGTTATGCTCTCGTGCTTACTAAAATAACTTTAGGTAATTACAGAGGTAAAGTCGCCAACGATGGGAAGACCCGATGGTACAAAACTTATAGGTTTACAGGGCCTTGCCCCGATAACACTAAGCACAAACGAAAGCGGATGTAATGATGTCCTACGAGGCCTACCTATAAAGTCAGTCAACCCTCACTTCAAATTCTGTTGTAACATTTGCAAACCTCCACGTACTTTAGTTTAGTACATTCAAATTTAATAAACTATACCTCAAGGCAGTAAACAAAAACGCACACGAGTTTTGATGAAGATAAGTTGAATCGATATAGATAGGTCATATCAACGGGCAATGAGCTGTCTACCGTTGAAATGTCAGGAATTCAAACCATGAAAAGATCAGACTGGCACGGTGGATATTGTAATCATCTGCCAACTAACGAAATGAACAAATCTCTTTACTGGAAACGGGAGTTCGCTAGAGAAGTTCCTTTTAACTGCAATTTCCCCTATCCACTACCGAACAGACCATGATGTATTATGTTACTTTAAACTAGGAGACAATTGAACAACTTTTGAAAGTCAAGGTCACCATAACCTTCAAGCCTTATCTCAACTTACTTCCAAGAGACTTAACTCCTCTCCTTGACCTACTGCTCTTCGTTACAAGGGTGAGTGTCGACTCTCAAAGATTAACATCAAAACGGCAGAGTGTGACGTTTACTGGCAGCATCATATACTTGATAATTCTAGAGGTTGATAAAACACATGTTGGTGTTTGAAAATGAGATGCACTAGCGGACTCTTAAAACTACTCAAATACGAACTTAATCAACACGAATGTTGAATCATATCTTCAGATCTTTACTTCACATGCTCATTGTTCCAGACGTGTTAAATCGTTTTAGATGCCCCTGATCTTCTAAGAGAGAAACAAATAAGTAGTACACCCATGGTCCATATGTCTTATGAACATGAATCCACATTAAGGCAGACCCATCCTAAACATCACACTGCCTTCGCACGCTGCTGTTGTACAATGACATGGTTTGGAAGATAGCAGCCATATTTCACATGTTACAGCCTCAGCGACACAGATACTGTAAAAGAACATTACGAGACATCTACCCTGAAACGCCCTGTAGGTGTCGACGACGTAAGGTGTAATCGAATAGTAAACAATTGAACTGATCACACTATCCACTACACGGGGCTAAGTTACTGGTCGATCGAGTAAATCTCCAATACAATGTCTGGTAGTGACTGTTTCTGACACTTTTCAACTTTCCTCTTCGATACAATGCCTGTTCTAATGGAATGTAGGACTGACTCTTTGATACATGTTTCCGTCGTGCTATCCTCGAATTATCCGTAGACGTTACTTAGCTCAGAACTGGCTCGGTTTTATAAGAACTCCACATCGTAGTCTTTGAAGAGGAAATAAAATTAGCCTGGTTAGAGAGCGAGCCCGAGAAATATGTTGGAAAACTCTGTGTACACAAACACTAGTAACATATGACATTGTCGTATCATGAGCAGTTTTCATTGTCAGTGCACTGCAGAGATATGCCTTCTCTTGCTCCTTCCGACATTCAAATTTCGGCATGACCTCACAACAGTGTGGTGTACAAGAAAGACGGCAGTGTGGGCAACATCCTTCAAAGTGGACAGGCTAGATATCATGCAACAAGGGGTACCCTTAACCGTAGAACTAACCTCTGAAGAATAAATATCAGCCAGGTTAACTTCCAAACTATAATACAAAGACCCCGCTTCCAGGGTAAAGAGATGAACAATTGCTGTAGCTTCCATCGAAAAAGACTTTATCGCCACAACACAGTCCACAGCTGATTCCTGGCGTTTTGAAACCATAGCAGTTTATACTATAGTGGTCTTCTAAATCTAACGCAACAACCTCGTGGTCTATGAGCAGAACCAAGTGACAACTGATGGCTCATGAACGAGCCGAAGAGACGTGCCTTCGCAAGTCTACACCATCTACTGAACTGGATCTCAAAACGTTCCCGTCAGGTCCAAGCAAAACGCCAGATCGAGGTAAAACAATAGAGCCTAAACCACTTTGTGCTTCTAACTGCCCATTTTTCAAGCCTTGGACATACTCGAAAAATTCTGCCACTTGACGTGCATACCTGCAGAAATCGATACAAGCAGAACTTTAGTTATACACAGGCAAGATTTATTCTCCTCGCACTTCTGATAAACATTCGATGGAGCACGCGCAAGACAAATTGTAGAGGCACAGATTGATTGTTTACAAGTAATTAGCACCAACGTGTTAGACAGTTGCGCAAACGAAGTGGAAAAACTTCCACCTTTACGAAAAGAGATCTTGTACGTATACATGAACGTGACAACTTACTCTGCTTTGGCCTCAATATCCTTACTAAAGTCGATGCTAGGTTCACAATCCAAAATCAGTGCTGGAACCTGTCGCACACAACAGTCTACTTCACTCAGTAATATGAATCAGGTAAACAAGACATGACTAATACTGTAGTGTTGATTTTGAACAATTATAACGCCCCAACGAGCAATCATTCGCAATAAGGTCCCGACATTCTTTTCATCAGTCTCAATTACTGATCATGTAACAGCCTGAAAGCGATATACTCTATTGAAGTTGTAATGATCGATGTATGACCACTGTGAAACCCGTAACGAGATCAGCTTTACATCGAATTATAAGGTACGATAGAAACCGACAGAATTTTTAGCACTAAGAACTAAGTAAGAACACACATATGAGCGAGAAATGTAATAAAAGTGACAGAAATATGAAACTTCCTAAACTACAAGTTCAGTGATGTTGCCGTGGTGAATATAGCTAACAAGTTTCATATAAGTAGCAAAAAGAACCGAAAAGAGCTCTAAACTGAAGGAGCCATAATTCTAAAAGAGCCAGGAAAGGACAGTGCTCCCGCCAGTCACTCGATTAGATGAGCAAGAAATGTAACTCAGGGAAGAATCCCACTGTGATTATGAAAACAGAAGACGCATTCTTGCAGGAAACTTGGCTAAGAAAACAAGGCTTATGTACATCTGCATAGAGAACATGATGCAGGCGGAACCTACAATCCTGACGTTAACGTCAATCACCGTAGAACAAAAAACGATAGAAACTAGCAGGAAGGTACGTAGAATCTGTGTCAACTTGGGCGAAGATTGATAGAAAACAGTAGCCTCCTACTGTTCACATGCAACCATTCTATTGAGACACCACAATTCATGCCAAACTGCTTGCACGAAAAAACAAGCCTGCGCCGCTTTGTCAACATATCTTACCCCAGTACTATATGTGTTTGTGCTATGTATTCTGTTAAAAAAATGAATTGTGTAGCTCAAAACAGAACAAAGAGGTAGATTATACTTGAAGTTGAGTTCGCAAGTGGGCATTGATCTTGGAATAGGTTATTCGGTTAACCCTAGTTATCCTGTTAACCCTGACCTTCTGAAAGCATGATATCAATGGGTTGTAAAAACGGCTCATATGTTACCTTTTGTATTGATGAGTGCACATTTTCACCTCTCAGATACAAAACCCGATCTTTCAGGCGAGGAGAAAGGGGCACCCTATGCTCCGATGCCCAATCGCTAACAGACAGCAGATTGCTTCCTCTATGTTCGGCAGGGAGCAGCCACTGTTCATGTTTCTCGTGTAGATCTCTCAAGTAATCCAATGTGACTGTATCCTCCTCTTTCCTCTTCCTCGATTGCAGGCGACGGTGGCAAGTATCAGGAGTTGCCCGTAGGTAAATAAAAGCATCAGGAATAAGCCCTGGCATCGCGGACACCACTGGATCAAACCATGAATCATATATGCTAATTTCTGCATCACTCATCCACTTTGCTTCATGAACTGCACGAACGAAAACCTGCGAGATCATCAAATTTGGTCAGAAAACACTGTGCCGCGCTGATCGCAGCCATTATGACTAGCGTAATCATGTGTGCCGAGATTTGATGTTTTACAAGTATTTCATACTTGCAACACCTTCGGCTAACTTGTACATCGTTGAGATTGATAAGTTGAAATAATAATCAGCGTACGGATGCAGCATGCAAGCATCTACTTCGTGGAATTCAAGCTGATAGTTTCACATGTATCGTTCAGCTGAATACTAAGATATAACCTTAAAATTTAGTTTCTGCAAACAACAGGCACGATGATCCATAGTACATTGTACTGGAGGAGAAGAAAAAATGTGAAATGATGACAAAACTTTCAAATACTTCAGATTGTGGGGCATGAACGCGTGATAGATCTCGTGAACATTGGAACTTTTTTGACGGAATAAGAAAGCAAATTGCGCTTCCTGATACGATCCCATTGATCGGTTCCAAGCAACACATACGAAGAAAGCAAGGCGCTACGGAATTAGCACGAGGGTCTCGACCTTTTGAAACTTACCATCAGTCAAAGGCGAAGAAAGGAAATATTGATAGACATCTACATGTGACAGTATGTAACAAAAGGAAACAGAAAATGCTGAGAAACCATCTTACCATTCTATCACTGAATACGCTTCTCTCCATTAAGCGCAACCTCTTTTCGCCAACAGCCGACTCACGCTCCTGCATCATTCTTGTTACAAAAACATAATTTTGGAATGTGTAGGCATAACGCTCTGGATCCCCGTAAAATGCGTCCAAGATGTTGAAATGATCTGGACCAACATCTTGCCACTTTGAGATAGGTTCAGGTACGATTTCGACAAGGTCTCGCAATTCAATTGTCTCATTGGCTATCCTTTGCAAAAAGGTAGTTTTGCCGACACTAATGTTGCCCTCCACGCAAAAAGTAAGCCTCTTTTTTAATCCACGTCCACTTTCTGCCATACCGTCCTCAGCTTCTACAGATGTCTTGATAAAGTCTGTGATACTTGCCGCATGGTGTTTCTGCACACCAACAGAGCTCCGCAGAAACTCCACCATTTTCTCTGTGCCGTGACTCCTGTACTGTTCACACAGAAGTAATTGATTGAAGTCAGACGTAAAGTAGAGTTTTGGGATCTTACAGAATACAGACAGTCTTATAACTGCTGAAGGAAAAGGGCTGGGCGAGCTATGAGGGTAGGTCCAGCAATTCCTTCTTTAAATTAGCGATGTAATAATGTGGACAAAGAAAGGCAGTTAAAATATGTCAGGTAGAAGATGCAAAAGCAGATGACAGTGTGATAATACAAATTCGAAAACTGTTAAATAAAGTGAAATTGACGTGCCCAGTTCTTTCCCCCGACTCTCATGAACTGCAAGAACTAGTTTCAGGACTCAAGTTTTCGAATTCGTTCATGCAAAAGCACTTTCTACTAACTTTTGTATCAGGATAACCAAGTACATGAGAATGTTTTGACTCGGCATACACATGCGACACCTACGAGAGAACCAAAAGTTATCAGCACCTTGTCACGGTACAGCTGCTTCAGCTCGTCCAGTTTGAAGATCCCTTTGGCTACCAGCTTCTCCATGTTCCGACGACCAATTCCAGGAACTGTCAGGAGATCTCTCCATTCTGGTCCAGGGCGGCTCGTGCTGGATGTGGCCCGACGCCTCCTCTCCGCAGAGACGCGAACTCTATCTGCCAACACTCCTTCAATAAAACCATCAGACTCACAAGTTTCTGCGCAACCACCTCCATTCAATTCTACTCCGTCCTCGTAAGGTAAAGTGACCCCGGTTATGACATCCGTCTCTTTCTCAGAGCTCCGGCTTGACTGGGTACTCTCTGCACCCAGCTTCCAGCTGGTTTCCATTGGTATTTTGCTAGAGACCGTTCCCATGCGCAGCGTCGCATAATTTTTCCTCTGTACATTTTGAGGCAGAGACCCTGGGAGTAGAGATCTCTCTAGACTATGAAGACGCGGCAGACTGGGTAAAGTGAATGGCGGAGTACAGCCCGTCAAATGCCTTGAAGGAAAACGACTATCCAACGAGAAATCCCTTGAAGAGAAGGACGCTTTCAGTACACTGCTCAAATTACGCCTTCGCTCCTGATGAACCTTTTCAAACAATGAAACACTGAATCGTTCCTTTCGTCCACGTCCTTCTGGAGCCAAACGTCCACTTTCTATAAGATCGACCTCATGGTTTGGGCGTTGGACTGTGAAAAGTTGAGAGGATGGACGAGTCCGGAAATGTGAATTTTCGCTAGAATATAGGAAACTGCTTTCGGAACATGAATTGGAAGCCCCACAGTTAAAATGTGAAGAGATGCGTGCTGACCCGTCTGAGTGATAAACCTGGAAAGCTTTAATGCGGCAAAATGACAAGGCTCGTACTTGCGAATCGGAAATCGTGCAGCAAAGGGCTCCCACAGCCGAATTGAGTGGAGACGGAACAGGCATTTTGGGCAACACTGCCCTCCTTGCAGCGACACACAAGTGCAATAATCTGTACCCTCTTGGCATTAATTAACTTCAATCATATCTTCTCCTTCCTGTCTTCACCCTGTGCTGAAACAAAATAAACGACGAGGAAGAATTACTCCAGCAGAACTTTATCTCTTGGCACTCGTGAAGGCCATCTCTTCAGTTCCTATCACTCACTTTCACATTGGGTTGATGTGACTGTGCACGTACTGTGCCACATAATCCTGTAAATCCCTTCATGTTCGTCTTCAACTGAACTTCCATGTCGATCTTGAAAAGATCAGTTAAGAACGTCTGACCCGTCGACAAGAGGTAGACAGATTGTACAAAAACTGCTGGACAGTCTCAACTGCGAGGCCCGATACCAGTTCACGTATATACGGGAAAATATGAATGTGACAGAGAGTCGTTTGCGGCAAGCACTATGACAGAAACAGAGACAACTTCGGCAAGGGACAGATCACCGAGCGCGCCATCTCCGCATGGAGGTTAGCAAATTAACCCAGGTTGAGACAAAGCTCATGCTTTGACCTCTGGCTAAGATAGTCGAACAGAAAGCCAGATACAGTTTATTCGGTATCTTTCGTCGTCAAGCTCAGCGTATCGAATGAGTACAATCGAAATAGCTCCCAAACCCTAAATTGTGACACGGCGACATCGTGACGAGACTTCAGCATCCGAAAACCCACCACATTGCTCTGATGGAAAATGTCTTTTAAAGTTTTTATCATCAGATGGAGACGAAAACTAAATAGCTTCAAACATGAACAGTATTCTCTCCCCGCGGAAGAACTGAACGAAAGAAATCTCTCATTCCATTTTTTAGATTTCTGGTTGATAAAGAGATTTGGCAAGTCTTTGGTTTGTTTCTGATAAATACACGTGGCAAGTATATGGAGAAATCAAACCAATTCCATTAAGAAAAAGTACGCTGCCAAGGAGACATAAATGTAACCAAAAGGTTAAGATGTCTTAGACAGTAATGGTATCATAAATACCCTAAATGTCTAATATTTTATTCAGTATGTCCGAATTATTTAACTAAAATTTTCAATTTGTAACAGCAGCATTTTAAAAAAATTAATTTCAATTTTATATTTTGCACTAGTTTGTATTCAATACATAATTATTGGATACATGTTGACTAAATAATTAAGAGAACAAGCTAAAGAATATTACTTCAGATCAGTGCACTCTTTCTTACATAAACATGTCACACGTTGATTCCATACAATCTCAAAGCTGGAAAAATAAACCACACCGTTCCCTTACATGTCTTCATGATTACAAGATTAGCCAGAATTTTTATTCATAAAACAGAGAAATATCATATCAAATTATTTTCACTATTATGTTTAATTTTCAAAGAAATCACAGATTTGTATTTCAAAATACAACTCTGGAGTACAGTGATAGCAGAGGGAGTTTTAGTAAACGAGGTGAAATGCCTAGAGATCTAGAAGAAATTACACCAATGACTGAATCACTCATCTTTGCTGAAACTAAGAGGCTAAACCTAGGGTATCAGTTGGAACTTGAATGTCATATGCAAGATTATCTTAATGCATCTATTCTAATATATCGTCATTGATTTAATTTATTTTAAAGACCAAAATAATATTTTATATAATTAAGATAGAAAACTTGCTAAACTGAATTCATCTTATATAAAAGATACGATCCTTATATAAATCAAATGGATCAAATTTATAGCTAAATTGATGAGAAAAAAACATTTAAAAAAAATATGAAATCTAAGTCTTGATAATATTATGCTGCAGATTTTTATTTATTTATTTGTTTAACAAGCACAACATTCATATTATCTTTATAAGACAACTTACAACCAACATGATGTAGTAAATGTGTTAATCATTGATGTTATTGTAACTTAATCTTATTCAAGTAAGTAGAAATGCATCACAACTCCCTTTGCATTCATCATTGATACATATATATAATCACTTTAATACACATTCAAATCATGCATGAAGGTTTATAACAACATATATGTCAATATAACCTAATTTAATAGAATTTAACCTAATTCATGTTAGTATAACACTAGTTAAGTAACTTGGCTAGACTAACATTATATAACAGAGATGCTTTAAGCTTTCACTGATCATGTTTAAGGTAATATTTCATCCCTATGATGGTTGAGGTTAACTCTTCTTAAGGAGTATTCTCGGTTCCTAGCGAAAGTTAGCTATGATGAGTCGTCAGGTTTACAGGTTGGAGTTACTTAACCCTAGTGATCTAAGTCTGTATGTACACTTTCACTATTTGCAATACATTCACTTTGCACTTGGATGAACCACATTATCTTCGTGTTTTGTATTTACTTTCTTGGTTACTCTCATCTAGCAATTGTTATTTTACGTGTTTTGAACTATCTGGTTACGATCATCTCACTGAAGTTGTTTTACGTGTTTTGGATTGATAATTGATATTAGAGCGTTGAGATGTATGATAGTGTGTTTTCTATTCTATAGTGTTTGTTAGACAAGTTAGGTTAACAACAGATTTTCGCATGCTTAATGTTTTTATGTCAGTTCTCTCCAATGTGATTTTTTCCACATGTACAATTGACAATTTGAAATCTCACAGAGTAGTTTGACAATTTTACGCTGAGTTTCTTATTTGATCAAAATCAAAATTTGAGTAGATAGAGAAAGGAAGATGAATCGTTAAACGAATTCAAAGTAGACAAATTAAAACGGAAAAGATGACCGAAGTCCCGATCAAATTGAAAGGTGTCAGTTTCAAAAGAAACTAGCAAATTCTACATAGCAAATGACATATGATCTTTGTGTGACGATATCGCTAGCGTAGCACGCAAATATCAATAGAGTGCAAGGCATCTCGTGGGCGCACATGTCTTAGAAATTTACCCCAATACAAAGTGAGATTTGCGAGATTGTGTTTAACAGTTGAATTGTTCTTGTGAAAAGTCATCGCCATTAATGATTAGAGCGAAATATTGATGTTTTGCACAAGAAGTTTTTTTTATTTGGCGGCCAAGCTGCGTGTGCATGATCTTTGTGCCGTCAAAAAGTGAGATCCGAGAGATAGATTTTGACTGGTGAATTAGGATCCTTTCTGTGGTATGTCGTTGTCGAGAAAGCATAATACGACTCATTTGAATTAGATTTTGTCAAATAGAAGAGGGGTTTAAGCAAACAAAATCTTTGGGAGTCTTTAGGAAGAAGTGTACAGCTCAATTTCAAATTATGTGCATGAAAAGATTCCATGGCTTTAATGATCAACATCGACTCAATAGCGGAATCCAAACCTGACTACACATTATGATTTACTATAGTCAAAATTTAGAATTATCAATTTTCTTACAGAAAAAATGAGGTGCAGTGGAACATAAATTTGTTGACAAAAAAGTTGATTTTCCATCATATATGGCTGATTTTGCATCACATAAGAATCATCGCTGATGTCACAATTGCAATCCAAGACGCGTAGCGTGATCTAATCTCCGTGTGGTTCTCACTTCGTAGAGTTGCAGCAGTTCATGGCGGGTCTCGAGATAGTGATGTTAACGACGAGTCGAGTTGAGGGTGACTTCTCGCTGGTGTGTTATCGTCACAACTCATATTGTTCCTCTATGACATACTTTGCTCTGGAAGGCATCATGTACGCCAAGCTGTATATTGCACTTCGGAATGTGGCAAAACATATGTAGTTCCGTTACTGGTGATCCCATGAAGAAATCACTTCTTTTTCACTGCCACTAGGCCGGGTTAATGAGAGTGTTCTATTGTAAGTATCATCTTGAGTCCTATTTTAGCAACAATAGGACAAATAGTACATTGTCATAGAATAGAGTGGTTCATCATATCCATAATGGGTATGATGAACCCAACGTGAATTAGAACGTTGAGGATGAGACCTCACACGCAAGTGCAAAGCGGTGGGTTGTGCAGACTACCAAAGACTTGAAAAAACTTCTTTGACCATATTCCGTTACATTTTATCTCGGGAATCGACAATGTTGGAATGATTGAAGTGCAAGCAAAGAAGACAATCAAAGAATCAATGAAACTCTTATATAAACAAGATGTGTTGGGAGCCCTAGTGATTAATAATCATAGAAGTATAAAGATTTCATTGTTTGTGTCCGACCAATATGTTGAAAAAGTGGATATTGAATCAATGATACACTAGACGCTAAAGAAGTTTGAAAAGATAGAAACACAAACAAACAAAAATGAAAAAAATTGTAGTTGAGAAAAATAATGAAAACCAATCAAAAACTTTTCCTAATGGGAGTCTGAGAGATGACACTAAAGTGATAGAAGGTATGCTCAAAGCAGCGGTACAAGACAATGATGATTTTTAATCAGTTTTGACATGACTTGAAAACATCGATAACTCAAAGATTGGTGCTCTAGCTAGTTTTTTTAGATAGGTCATTTTTTGCCTGTCTATTTCAATACCTCTCTCCTTCACATTCTGTAACTTCTTTTGAAGTATGGGCTTGAATGCGGCTGGTGTTGTGGATTTCAAGAAAAAACAAAGATAAAGCTTTCATCACTCAAGATGATGCCATGCAACTTCTTTTGTAGTGCAACAAATTCTCTTGATTCAACAATATTGCAAATTAAAAATAATATAAAACTCAGTGAATTTAGGTTCTAAGCTGATATAACTCTTGTACAACTCATCTCTATACTATGAGTAAAGATGTCAAGATTCTACTTGAAAAAAATGAAGTGTTGAAGAGCATAAGGACACCTTTATCTTGATGGTTACATTTTCATTGAGAATTTGTAGTTTCTTCTTATTTCATCTTTTTTGGATGTAGCTTCAAATAGCATTTCAATTACAATCGAGTTGAAGCTAGAAGACTACGAGTATGCAGAAATTGGAAATAAAGATTTCAAGATAATTATTGGATGTCCAACCGTTGCTTGTAGCAGGGTGGAGTCATCATACTTTTATTTCACATGAATGTCAGCATCAACTTGGGATTTGCAGGTTTTTTTATTCTACTCCTTAACAAATCATTCTATATTCAGACTTGGAGTACAAGAACATATAGTTTCATTGAAACAAGATTAGATAGCTATCTCCATCAAACAGTTTGTCTACAAGTTTGTATGATATTCCAATGTACTCGTATATCTTTCAATCTATTCTTATGTCATGAGATGCTCCAATCCCTTTGTTCCATGAGATCGTTTTGATGTCCGTCTCTCTAATTCAAGTTTGGATCATCACGCTATGTATATGGACATTTTTTGTTACTTCAGAATGCAAGAAATTAGTTTGATTGATGATTCTACTAATTAGGCTACTATTGCTACGTATATTGATATATTATCAGTATACTTAGCAATAATATCTCCAATAGTAGACTTGAACATTCTTTTTGTAATATCAATGATATTACAATAGATTTGAACTTGTAGGGAAGAGCAAGATTACTCTTGCCGCATATAACCGCTAACATTCTAGTTGAATTGCTCAAAAAAGTAGCATGAGTATTCAAAGTGGAAACTTTGTTGTCATGAACACAAAGTAACATGGTTGAAAGGAAAAGAATTTCGTGCAAATGTTTAGAGACAGCATCCTTATGAATGAAAAGATCAAGTATCTGAAACTAGTGTATGAGTAATTGAGTCATAAATGTATGACCAATTATAATTATTTAAGTATATTTGGGTGTATTGCATATACACTCACATCCAGGGAGCATATGACTAAATTAAATTCATTTAAGAAGTGTTATTTTCTTGAATATGCTAATTAAAGAAAAGGTTTCATGCTTTAAGATCCAGTAGCTCAAAAGATGATTGTCAATATGGATGTTTCTTTCAATGAGCCCAACTTATTGAAAGAGTGGGAGACTTTTCAAGCTCCTCATATTCAAGAGAGAAAATTTCCACTCACTGATGTTGTTGTTGGAAAGTTTGATCATTATGTGATTAATGATCAGCCACAAGAAGTATCACCACTACATGTGAAGCAAGTTCTTGAGGAATAATAACTAGAGGAGCATATTATCATCGATGAAACTCTTGTATTTCATGATGTGCATTAGATCTCATATGGACAAGGTGAATGCAAGGTTAATTGCATGTGAAAGTATATGCATTACATACAAAAATTTTCAAACGACTATAATAATGTCATTCGTTTGTGACTCAATTAGTACTCACTGACACACTTTCAACATATACGTGTTGAATTCATGGAAAGTTCATAGGAAAGCAATGAAATGGAAGTTGATATATCTGAAGAGTATTATAGATTATGGCTTATTGTTTGATGGTTTATTAAACAATGTCAAATCTTTGTTGGACTTTATTGATGTTGAATATAAGATTTGAAAAAAAAAATCTTTAATTGGGTATGTGTTTACACTTGGTTGTGGAAACATTAGTTGGAGATCTACCTTAAATAAATGTGTAGTTCAGTCTACAACGAAAGTTAAGTATGTGGCAGCAACAAAAGCGGCAAAGTAAACTATTTGATTGGACATACTTATCATGGAGATTGAATAAACATATGACGTGGTCAATTTTCACTGTGATAGTGAGTGTGCTCTACATCAAATTATGAATCAAGTTTTGAATAGCAGAGAAAATACATCAATATCATGTATCATTTTATACAAGTAGTGTATGATTAAATAATTGAGCTAGTCAAGATAAAAGTTAAATTCAATCTAGCCAATGCGTTGATCAAGGTTAATTTTTTAAAAGAATTTGAGATGCCATTGTGCTACTATTTACTTTGTGCATGTGGAACATAGTTAGAGTTTGCTAGCATAATATATTCAATTAACTCTTTATATAATTATTCTATTATGTGATGGTTATAACTTAGTTCTAATTAAGTTTTGGTATAAAGAAGAGTCTTGTGTTAGGTTTATTTATTTTATATTATATATCATTATATATTTTATTATTAGGTTTTATTCTAAAACTTCTTGAGGAAACATTATATAACTTATGGAGTTTAATTTTCTCTCTATGCAAGCAAATTTATTAGTTAACTCTTTATATTATTACTCAATCCTTATATGGTTAAGGTTTAATTCTAATTAACTCTGGTTGACAAGATGAGCCTTGTGTTAGGTTTCTTTCTAGAATTTACTGCGGAATAATAATATAGATCAAGGAGATTATTATTCCTTTAAGAAGAGTTAAGGAGTAGATCATTGAGTAGATTGTTGATGTCAAATATTGTTAAGGAGTAATCTTAGTTACTAGCTTTGATAATATGTCAAGTTGCCAAGACTAGAGATATTTAGCTCCAATGCTCTCAGACTATATGTACATGCACTCTGCACCTTGGTAAATCAGGTTATCTTTGTGTTCCGTGTTTAACATCTAGCTCTCAGGCTAACTATCATCGAACTAATGTCCTTTTACGTGTTTTGGACTAATAATTATGTTTGTGTGAACATAGTTTGCAATGATGAAACAATCATATCTAAGGTCACATTATCTTGTGTGTATGCGCAGTCATTATGTTAACTCTTTGTGCATTCAAATCTTATGTTGACTTTGTGACGTGTGTGATCAAAGATTTTTTAACAAGGGGTATCAAACAAATCTTAAACAAAATGCAATGCTATTAAGGAATAGTCAATCCTATGATAGATTAAAAAATTAGAGAGAGTGTGTAACTCAAAATAATGTCCAATTAGATCAAAATTGATATGATTGCTCACGTAAGATTCAGAATAACAATTGAAATGAAAAAATTGAAATAGTAAAATAGTATTGATAACTGGAATAGCATTGTTACCATCTTTAGTTAGTTAAAATTAAAATAGATGTTACTCAATATAAAGTTATAATTTCTTTCAAATGCATTAATCATAGTTGTCACATCAGCAATCCGTGTGCTTAATAGATAGAGAGTAAGTGTGTAAGTTGACAATGTGCTTGTTATATAAGATTTGAATGTGTTAGTTGGAAGCGTCACGTCAACAATCCTTGTGCTTGTTAGAATTATTCGCTATGTCATTCGTTCACTATAAGTGAAATAGATGAGATAAAATCTTAAATTCTTTGTAATTATTGGTAAAATTTATTTAAGTCAGAGGATAACCATTGTTGGTATCTCTCATTTTCATAATGTATGTTTTCATATCAAATGAACTCTTCTCTAGCCCTTGTGTTACAAGTATCTAACACTGATGTTAACAAGAATGACGAACTATATTTCAAAACTTTCTATATATTTCCAACCAACCCCAATGACTAATACAACACTACTAATGCACTGAAGTTGAAAAGAGTCATCATCACTACTTTGAATCCAAAGTTGAAAAGAATCACAGTGACCTGTGCTACTAGAATTTTGAAATTGAAAAGAGTCAACGCCAAATTCATTGTTACTTTTTTCTCTTACTATATCACTTGAAATCTCATTCAGTTGTTTTGGAATTATTTTCTTGATAAATTTGGCATCATTTTTAATTCTTATGTTGATTCATTGTAATTTTTTGTCATGCTTAAGATAAAAGTTGGAGATCCAACTAAATTTTATTGATAAAAATACTACAATTTAAACCTTTTAATAAATTATTTATTGATTTGGCTCAAAACCATAGCAAATCTTGTGCTGGTTTCTAAATCTTTTGCTCAATTGCATTCGTGTTGAAAATCACTCACAAGTTGAGTGTGAAGATTAAAATTTAAAGAATATATAAGATATGAAAATTTTATTTCACTCTCTCGTTTCCACATGATCGATGAATTAGATCTCATGTAACTGAAACTTATCAAGATTATGATTGTGTTTGTTATAATTATTATTGTGCTCGTGATTTTAATTTGTTGCAGATGATACTTGCAACCCGCAACTTGTATTTCAACTTTCGTTTTACCCGATGGGATCCCACTGACGAAACACTTCACCTATGTTCTAATATGAACTGATGTTGCATGCAATTCTGATTGAATCAAGTCACATGTGTCGACGAGAGATGTGTCCAACAACATCTTGTTGCATGCAATTCTGATTGAATCAAGTCATATGTGTTGACGAGAGATGGATCCAACAGCATCTTGTTGCTCACGTTGTTGGCTATCTTTGAAGCATTTAATTTCAATTCAGATGATCATACTTGATCTTATAGAAGTCCCGATTTCAACAAAAAAACTGAGTGGAATGAACAAGGTTGACCACCTCCTTAGGAATGGTTGCATTGATGCATGTTGGGTGTCATGTACATGATGAACCAATTACTGCTGAAATTGATCAAGAGAGAGCTTCCAAAAGACTGAATCGATGTCTGCTCAAACTCAAAGCCATGGGAGCTCGCTCATGAAAAACACTTCTTCGTGATTGACAGATGCGAGGTTACGTGTCCGAGATTCACAACCAGCTCAGAGTTCATCCTCGTGCAAGAAACAATAGCTCAATATCAAGCTTTCGAATCCTTGAATTAAAGGTGAGATCCAACTTTCGCTTAGAGTAACGAAGACAAATTAACATCTATGTCCAACATCGATATGATACATCCATTGAGTCGAAAAATATCATCTATGTCATTAAGAGCACAATCTCTTGCGCTTCATGTAACTTTTTCATTTCATCCCAAGCTCTCAACTTAGTCATCAAGGTTACGAAGAAAAATTTTCCAAATCATTTCCTTCAGTTGCAGATTTTCTTACAACATCAATTACAAACTTTCAGAGTCTATAAACCTTCACACTATAACTTGTATCATATATGTAAAGGAACAAGTTTTAGAACTTGGTGACTGTGTGCCTCAATGGGATTCCATCGAATATATAAAAATTCGATGGGTTCCACTAAGTAATTTCTGCTACAATGGGATCCGTCAAATAATTTACTCCCTCTACTTCGTAGGTTTATTACGTTCGTATGATTGTTCACAAACTAGAGTTGCGTGTTTCCTTCTCGACCATGATAGCCGATTTTTTACCTCATGTGAAGGACTCACCTATTGCTATATTCATTGTTGGGTAGCGGGAGCCCATTACAAATTATTACACTTAAAGAAACTGATGTTGAGAGAGAATCTTCAAACCACTTTGAATATGCCTCTAGTTGGTTGGTCCAAGTCAACAAGCTTAATCCTTTACTGGAAATAAGAAACTTCATGACATGTAAGTTATATAGTTTTTGTTTTCCGGTAGCTGGTCTCGGTGGAAACACCTCCTAAAGCGGTGATAAATTTGTACGAGCTGAGCAGCGCCATATCACAACCCAGGAAAACCCACAACAGGAAACTTCCATGGGATCCAAATGCAAGGCAAAGCCATTTATCTGCCAAAACAGAACCAAGGGCCAAAACAGAGCCAGCTACGCCAAAGGCAAGCCATTTCTCTGCCGTTTTGGCATTAACATTGTCAGGTGTAACGTCGTCAAGTAAGAGAGCGTTTCTACCGTATGTCCTCCTGTGGTGCACTAGAAGAATCACAGTAAGAGCGCATGGAATGCCATAGATCTGATCTCGAATAAACGCAGTTGAATTGACAGCGAGGATGTTAACGACTGTAAAAGTAGAAATAGCAACCAGTTGCCACGTAACCCGTCTGTCATCGATGACTTTCCACACACTCAGGAAGCCTCCCGCTGCAGATATCCCACAGCACCCAGTTGCTATAACGTCCATCAGGTAGAAAATACTTATGTGATTCGTTTGTATGCAATGGGTGAAGAGGGCACCCAGGCACATAAAACCATACCAGAAACAAGAGAAACCCCACATGAAGTACCCGGGAACTTGTTGGGATCTTCTCTGAGACAGAAGTAGATGAAGACCCAGGTACAATCCGCCAAGAAACCCGATCACACAGAACACTGCCACTGCAGGCCACTTTACTATCCAAGGTTCCCAGCCAAACTGTCATACAGACGAAATTCTTTAGTGACACCAAGACGGTTCCAAATTCATTAAAAGGCTACCGACCTCTAAGGAATATTGCAAGGAAAACTGCCGACATGTGAGTCAATGGACACATCAAAACTAACTATATCATAGATTGGAGAGCACATTCATAGGTAGTGTTTGCTCCGGTACAGAGTTTGATCTACTTGAATGTAAAATTCACAAGTATGTTGAAACACGCTCGAAAACAATAAAACACACCACTTGTAGAGAAGGAAATTTTTTGAGTTCTTATTGTGAGCCAGTAACAAATCAAATACATAAAATCGTCAACTGGATTAGAAACTAGAGATTTAATCTTACAATCTCTACATACTTAATAACAATCCTAAATTCTATCGAAAGTACGCAGTTCGCAGTTGATTTCAATTTTGGGATCTTACAGGAATGGAATAGGTCGGCGCAGGACAAAGATCCATCACTTCTGCAGGGAAAATGACGTCCCATACAGATCTCGTCCACTTGCCTGACTTCAGACGATCCACTGTCCACGGCAAAAAACTCTCAAGAACGTGAGCAGACATCGAAAATTGCTGGATCAGATCTGGTTTTAAACAGAGATGAAGAGGAAGGTCGCCTGCATCCATACAAAGTGTTGTCAAAACAAGGCACTAGAAGGCTCAGAGTGTGACTCGACTATGACCGCGTGCTTTTTGCAGTAAAAATCTAAAAAAACGCCTTCTAATCTCCAAATCGTTATCATACACTCAGAAATCCATGCTCTTAATTAAAAATCAAAGGCGCCCCACTGCAGCAGATAGAAAAAAAATTTAAGAATGTTCGTCCCACTCTACGAGAGCAAGTGAGGATTTAGCTCACAAGGTGATATGAAACAGCTCAATACCTTGGAGTAACTAAACAACACAGCTTGAAGCACGCATAGGTCTGTCGATCATTCTAGGAAGTCGTGACCGCGTTTTGGATCATTGTTTTCCCTCGAGGGTTTCTGCTCGCGTTCACCTCAGCGTAGTATACTGTTTAAAAACATTGAATGCGAGGATCGATGAGAGATTAGCTCTTGGATATCAACTAGCCTGTCTGAATGTCAAGCGAGCTCACCGAATTCATCTCCTTGTATCTTGGACCTGGTCTACCGTGATTGCGTTGTGAGAACAATTATGGCGCAAAAGATTGACACGAATACTTGTACAAACGCAGCGGCTCTCTTCTATTTGGATTCTATGAGGACGGTATTGAAACACTAGCAAATGGGGAGACTTCTCAAAAGACACGAAAGATAAGGCAACAGCAACAAGCAACAAGGGGGAGAAAAAGAAAGAAAATATTGACTTTTTGTGTTGCACGTCTCTTGATCCTGTAAACTCATCCCTTATCTTATCCCTGTTCGATGAAGCGTGGCTACCAATCTACTTTGCTTCTGTAATAATTTTTTAGTCTACTTCAAGCTCACATTTCCTACTCAGAATGTCCTCGTATGACATCAGAATGACCCCTTAAACTGCATTGTCAGTGAGCTTGTACCACAATTGCTATGAATGCCTGAGGCTGTGTGTAGTCTCCTAGAATGACGACCGCGTATAACTGAAACTGAATGGTACAAATTATAATATATCATATTATTGTACGAAGACACCGTCAACCCGAATGAGTATGAAACCCGAGGAAAACATGTGCTAGTCTCCAATAATATCGCAACGAAATATATCCTAAACCTGAGATATGTACTCTCTGACATATCTTAACCATCCAAACTATCAAACTAATCCTAATAAGTATTGATTATCTTGCAAAAGCTTAGGATCTACAAATTGTATCTTAAACATGAAATTCTTCTATTTTTTCTTTGTCTAGTGATACTAATTTTCTTTTCTACATAGTAATAAAATGGCAGTTATTTGTATGTACTGGGTAGTTTATAAATTTCAAATGATGCTCAAACAAGAAACATAAATTTGGAACAAACATTTATGACTTCTTTTTGTCAGGAATGGTAAGCTACCTTTATCAAGCTAAGATTTTTGACATTTGGAATTGTGAAATATGGATTTGGGTTTTAATATCATGAGCATCATATCCTAAGTTATTCTAAGTATGTAGACTAGGAGGTGAAGATGATGTTAAAGAAGTCCAATGCTAAAGTGAGAATAACAAAGTAAGTACCGCTTGCAAACCTTTTGCAGACATTTGACCGTAAAAGGTCAAATGTCTAGATTTTTAGTAAGTTAGAAAAGATGTGACATGTATAGTAGGAAAACAGAATACAATTTACATCAACATACTCATGAACAAGAAAGTCGCCACCAAGTACTACGTAGTATATCTCAGATGAGTCTAATTCTGTCCACAAGAGTAGAAGAATAAAGTACTTTTGTACTCTTGCGTACTTAACTGATTGATACACTAACATGTTGGCCATAGCATGTCTTCCTCATCATATGCACTCTAATTGTTCAGAACTGTCAACTGAAGTATTCCTTTTGACTTTCACATCCTATTCAGATAGCTACGCAGCTCTAACTAGTCTTATTCCAAATTACTAAACTTGCTCAAGATTTAAAATAACTCTTAACCATATCTCTTATGAGTAATGTCAAAACATTACTCATACACTCTCTAACTGTTATCATCGATACATCTACTCCATACAATAATCGCTTGAATATACTTTTTAAATAAATTTATATAAAGAAATAAGGCTAAATTTTGCTGAATAGGAAAAAACAAAGAAAAAACTCCTATAGTGAATATATTCATTTCACTAGTGCTTCTTACGAATAAATTGCATAGTAGCATGCTGAAAGCACATTTTTGAAAAAGACATCATGGTAAAATATAAAGTCCGTGGTGTACCTACAAAACATAATCTAATCATGGCTGTTTGCTTTTCGAAATCCTATATTTTGAAACAATATTTTAATCCTTCAACTTCAATGCAAATTTTAGTTGATCTTTACTCCTACTAAATTGCATATACCTAAATTAAATTATGTTTTTGTTAAAATGAGATTGTCATAATTATTGAGGAAATCATATTAAATATTGAGTTGTTTACCTTTTGCATCTTTTATGCAAAAAAATCAGAAGGTATGAACTTTTTCACCTTATAAACTCATCAAATGTTTCACTTCATTGTAGAACACTACAGAAAGTTCAGCAATCTATGAAAAGACTATTAGGGCAAAAAATTTGGAGACAATAAAACATGTGTATATACTTTTTTGTTTTAAATGTTTACATCATAAAATCTAAAAATCTGAATTAGAACTATATTAGATATTGCACCAACTTTGTATCTTAGTTGGATTGTATCAATTCATTCAAAAACTGAACAATCTTTAAAAGTTAAGGAGATTAATTTTCACTAAAGTATGATGTTTAGTTACATTATTTCATTATTGAAAGATATACAAGATTGAAATGTATAATGTATAAGATATACAAGATTGAAACCTTGAAAACCTGATTGATTATAAATACAAGCTTCAACTATTTTTACATAAATAAAAACCCAAGCAATTTGAGACTAATTTATGTCATCACCTTATATCAGTCTAAGATTTTGAACAAAAACTATTTAATCCCTTATCAGTATTCTTCAAGAAATTATAGCTTTTTTCTAACATAAATTATTAAACTAAATCAAAATTCTAAAGAAAAATAATGTTATATAAAAATAAGGTAATAAATTTTAATTATTTTTAAAAATAATTTATATTCTAAGAAATTTATCAAGATTTCGAAAATCCTACATAAATTGAATGTTTATATTAATTATCATTAAATGGACATTGATAGACAATATTGAAGAATATTTGAAGATTTAAAATTTCACTTGATTCAATCAGGAAATTTTTTTATTCATTTGTTGAAATTTTAAATCAAAAATATGAATATAGCATTAATCAGGAAAGATTGATGAAATTGTTTAATTACTCGGATAAAAAAATATTTTTTGTGTTTTCTAACTTTTTCATGCAAAAACGTTATAAAAATTGATTTAAAATTCATATGTTAATCCATCAATTTTTATAATAAATAAAATTTTAATATTTTTTAAAAAAATTTAATATTATTGGCTATACGAAAGAAGCACCAAAGGCTGGAAATGGCTCGTAGATTTCCAACAGCAGGATATTTATGCGCTTTTATTTCATTAATAAATATTTTATAAAACAATACTTTTATTTTTTAGAAATATGTGTAGAATATTTTGAAATTATTCTTTCAAAAAACCTATTTGTGCATTTTTTATAATATTTATGTAAATTTGAATGTAAAATGATATATAACACATTATGTTAAAATTAGGTTGATTATTTATATAAATTAATCACATATGCTAAAATTTTATTTATTATATTATATTATACACATTGATGCTACAATTGAACAATATATGTGATTATAATAATGATTGTGCAATGTAATGTATTGCATTATTATGAAATCATTAAATACTAAAAAAATTTGGATGGATTTACAACTTTCTAATATTTTCAATCGTAGAATTTATTGTAAGAAAATTTGCACAAGATTCCATAAAAACCTCAAACATATAAGCGAGTCCTACAAGAAAATATATGATTCACCAATTTAAGTAGATATTAACTTGATGAGACTTCATCGAAACCTAAACTGTTTACTGGGATCTTTTAGCTTTCGTTTTACCCGATGGACCCCACGGATGACATACGTCACACATGTTTAAGTATCAACTTACGGTGCATGCAGTCAATCTCTATCGTGACTCTTGGCGTATAGTGAGCTTTGATGTACCAGCACATTTGATTGAATCTGAAAGAATGCTAACTTTTTCCAAGTCTCTTTTGAGATCGATGATATGACATGCGCATAGCAATGGGTTAGCGTGTAAACGTAAGACTTTGATTCTTCACTTTCATCATATGTCCCTCATAGTGTGGCTAAGGATGCAAGGCAATCATATGTCACATTTAATGAACATTAATTTCTAGAGCACTCATGCACACCATCGTCAAACATTCAATAGAGTATACTGCTGGAATCAAAACATTTCTTGACCACAGAAGTGCTCATATCGCAATGCTCTTGGGCTCAAGTTATGGAGAAGAGTCGCGGCTTTGTGATTTTGATACGATCAATTCACTAGCTAGATTTGGCAATGAGGACTACCGATTCACACGTAACTTCTTCTGTATCGTGTTTCACTCCTTATCTAGTTTCACTTATTACTTAAAAAAATTTGTTTGCTGCACATGTGTTGCTAAGGTTGTTTATTACTATTTGGAATTGAGAAGATCTATTGAAGACCAAGTGTGGCTGTATTAAACTTTTAGCACAAATACCATTATTGTGTCTTGACAGATCAATCTTTGCTCATGCAAAAGTGTAACACATGTGAAGACTAGACTTTGATTTGAAAGATCTAGAAGGTCTAGAGTCGATTGAAAGCCATCTAATCCAAGAGCTTCTCGCCTAGTCTACAAGTAGACAAAAGCTGATTTGTTAGTGTATTTAGTAAACAAACCTCTCAATTCTTGCAGTTCTTCATATTATGTTTCTAAGATCTTTCTTGTTGACAAGGATTTTCAGCACCTCCCGCAAGCAAGCTTTTGCCTAATTTATTGCCTCGAGAAAAGCTCATGTATACACTTGTATTGAACCTCAACGAATCTATCGTATTTTCTGACTAGAAGGTAATGTTTTGTTGGAAGCTAGACTTTTATGTAAGTAGGTTATACGCAACACCAAAGCAAGTCAATTTTAAATGAAGGTGGCTATCATTGTGGATTGTATTTGATTGCATACAAACTTCATCGGATCGCATATAATACTTCATCTCAATTAGTCCATTACATGTCAGGTTGGTTCTTTATATTCCGGTGTTGATTATTCAAATTTATTATGCAACGTGACAGGGGCTTGAGCATATTCAAAAAGCTCGGAGTTAATGCATTTTTGGAGCAACTTGCTCAATACTATGAAATTGTTATCTATTTGGATCAACTACTAATTTAAACGGATATGTTAACTGAGTCAACAAAAATATATGACATTTTCTTGGGAGTAACTTTTGATGATTTTTGTAGTGATAGCACTAGAGTATATTATGGTGAGAGTGACAATGATGATATGCACAATTTGATGGTATGATAGAACTTTTAAACTATGTTTGATAGACACATTTAGTTACTTTCATGAAGCTTCTTGAATTTTCATCTGTTGATACTTACCGACTATATTGATTTACTCAGCATTGATCATTTCTCCAAATGTTATTTCAGTTCTTAGCTACTTGTATTCTGTTGCGTCCATTTTGTTATACCTTGCCTTGTAACTTGCATCGTACCTGGTGGCAAAAGAATTATTTCACTGTAAATTACTTTGGGATTATGATCCAGGTATGTTGACTTCCTCCTATTCATGAGTTAGCGGAACTCATTTGTAATCTTGGAATCTATGTTTCAAACATTCTGCTTTTTACCGTGATGGGCTCTAAGCCTTACTCAAAAGCTGCCGGGAAGTGCGATTAAAGGTGCTAGATCTATTCTCCTCATGATGCGATGTGTCTTACATGGCATCAATCGGAGAGATGCCACCCGACATAAATTTGTCATATCATTTGAAGCATTGCTTTCATAGTTCAAAGTTACTAGAGAGAAGTGTAGTTGAGAAATTGGCATAGCTCGCTCGTGTATTTACTGAAGCTGCCATGTGTGTGCAGGCTAGTAGTGAACACTGTGTTTGCTTTGCTATACCTGAGAAAGAAATGATTGTTGTAGCTGAGGCGTTGGAGCGAAGGTTCAAATTTGCTCTTATGGCTGGTAATCTGTCTATATAATCAACTACACACATTTTCATCCTCAGGCCTTTGATGATACTCGGACTATCGTCCGTCATGTAGATGAAAGTGTTTCCAGTACCCAACACGTTTCATGAAGATACTGGTATTTCCTTTTTTGTTTGGTCTATCATAAATTTTTTAAGTGTGGCTCGTGAAAGCAATGCTGGTTATTTGTTCGGCACTGATTGAGCAGATCTTACAAAATAGAAATCAACATCAATTTTGAAGATACTTTAAAGTGACTGACAGCAATAACCTGCTTCGACTAAAATCATCATGATCATGTGCTTCTTGCTAAGATGTCGTTGCCTTGAAGAGGTCTATCGCACCTTTCATAGCCACACGTTTTTATACTCATTTTTCATCCTTGTAATGGATTTTGGCCAGTGGCTGAGGGCACTGGTTGTGCAATTTTTTTGCAAATATGACTGTTTCCTAGTGACATAGTTTCATGTTCGTTTGTTTATAACTTGATTGTTCTCTTGTAGGTGGAAGTAGTCAAGAGTTGTGTCATATTGGCTGCAGTTGGACAGAGAATGGCAGGCATTCATGGAGTTAGTGCAACTTTGTTAAACGCCCATGGCTAAGATAAGTAGATAAAAGTAGAAGGTGAAGATTAGTATCATTTATGAATAATACGAAGTTAGCATTTATGTGCACATATGTGAGCAAGTTCCTGCCTCGCACCGTTTTATCTTGATATCGAATTAAATCAAGTACATTCATAGTTTAGTATTTCTTTGTTGGATGATAGAAGTTGGAAGAATTGCTCTTCAGGGCTTATTTCATTTCTGGAGGCGAAATATGTATTTTGAACGTCTAGCGCAAGAATAATGATTTTGATCAAGATCTGTGCATGAAACTTATATACAGGCCAACGTAAACGTGCTAAAGAACAAGGGATCTGTTAAGCTTAGTGAAATCCCGAAGAAAGAGTCTTTCGCGCCGTTGTCTGGTAGTGACAACATCATTTTGTTTACCATCTGGTACCGCTAGGTAACAGAAAAAATAATTGATCATGCGAGGACCTGCTGCTGAAGTTATGGCAAGAGGAGTTTTTAGCAATCTATTGAGGTTGTATTCCTATTTGTAGTTCCATCATAGGAAGACTAGTACAGAGTCTAGAGAAAATTTGATGAGTTTTGGAGAAACTAGAAATGCCTTACATTCTTTATTTGCACAAAGCTAGAGGTCTAAAAAGTACAAGGAGCTTTAGTAGTTGCAATTGCTTTTACTTTTATTCCGTAATTATCTGCAACGAATCTTAGGCTTTTTGAGATAACAGTTTGAACTGAGGCTTCATGCGATCCTTAAATTTTTTTGTCCTTGAAGTGCTCAACCAATGCAACGTCTAGATGAAAAAAAATAAACATTGAGAGCCTGGGAACTTCAGAATGTTTCTTCGCTCCTTTCATCGGAAGCTAGGAAGTTGGTGAGAGAAGGTTGGCATTTAGAAGCACTCACATATGCAAAGTTAGTTCATTTTATTTCATTTTTTGATTTTTAAGCTAGATGTCAGAATTTAAATTTTTCTGCAGTTTTGCATCGATGTCATTTTTCCATGTTTGTCAATAAAGAATCAATTGTTGGACCAGGGCTTTGTGTTTGGCAATCCTTGCATCACACCGATGTTCAGTATCGGCGGGACATTCTCCACGGTAATTGAAGAAGAAGATGCCTGACTTCTCCTTAACCCTTCCGCTAAGTCTAAGATTAAAAAATCTGCATGGAGTACGAGGAATCAGCAGCACCTTCAACTTTGATGTGAAGAGTGTTTGAAATCAAATGAATGTAAATTTGTAGAGCTCTTGCGAATGTAGAAGTATATACAAAGAGCCTGAAAGGCAGTTCTCAAAATTGTTTGAGTTTCCCGGTAGGTAGCTCTAACCTTTCAGTCGGATAGAGGCCGATAAACATGAAGATGTTAAATACTGAGTGGTGCTTAAAACTAAGTAGTCTACATCCGAGGACGAGATTTTCCTTGGCAAATCAAGCAAGTCTTTTTAGATCCTAGGAACAATGGATCTCAATGATTGCTTTTATCCACAATCTTTTTCTGAGAAAATTGAATGTCAAGTTGATCAATCAAATGGTCCCGCTGTGGAGCTAAACACCGGATGTGGATCTCAGGGAATGAACCTTGAGGAACCGAATACTAGGTTTCAGTGGGTTTGAGGATAAATAAATGAGTTTTGAAAGCAACATTCAACCAGTGATGACTCTGCGCGCACCGAAGGATTGTGAAGACGGCCTGGGATCTCGCTCTAGACGCCAGAACTGTTAAATCTTGTTGCTCAATTTTGCAAGGCTTGATGACTGCGATCGCAATAGTCCACTATAGCTCGCATCATACGTGTATAAGAACTTTGTGATGATGTGTCTTCCGTGATGTACCATCAAGTAAAACAAAACTTGATGGATCCAGTAAATATTTTTGGTTCCGATGGGGTCACCATCAAATAAATACTTTCCAATTTCAGACTACAGCCACCGGATCAATAAGATATTTACTCCAAAACGTTGTAAGTGTTCAATGAGAACTATCGCTCTACCTCCAAATTGTACACAGTAGAAAATATCCTAGGTTTGCCCTAAAGTTAAACTTAAAACTAAATCTGACTAGAGTTAAATTAATTAGATTTTTTGTTTGAGATTTGAATTAGTATTAACATTTAAGGTATTCTAGTTTTAACATTTAACATTTATAACATTATAAGTAGATGCATATCTTAATCAAATTTAACTTGAAAATTATTTTAACTCATCTTGATGATTACAATAATACGCTTATAAAAATAGGTTTAATTTGTTTGAATGATTTTATTTTTTGAAAATCTGTTGAATAGGGCATATTCAATGTATTAAGTTGAGTAAGAAGCAACACAAGTTGCATATTTTTCAAAATCAAAATTATATATAGATTGAAATAAATGTTTAAAAATAAATTAAAGCTGTATGTTATGTATATATAAAACACGTAATGTTTGTTAAAATTATACAAAATATGAAAAATCTTAATAACGTCATAAAATGATTTTTATTTTACAAACAGATTCTACTTTCGAAACTTAATATAATAAAGTTAATAAAATACTTAACTACGTTAATAAAATATTTCTTATTTTATTAATGTAGATCCTATCAATCTACTATCAAATAATTCAAGAAAATTCCAAATCACAAAAGTATTTCTTGCTACTTTAGGTTGGGGAGTAGAAGCCGGCGGAGAAATTGGGATACTTTTCCATACTTTGTGTATCGAGTTCTTCATTTGATTTCTTCTGCAGTTTTAGGTTTTATTATATTAATTATTATAATTAAATAATTTATTTGATTTATGTTTATGAACTTAAATATTGGAGATGAATTTGGGATCTCTCAGAATAAATTTATATTTTATATTACTGTTGTGTAATACAAACAATTAGCACTTTTATGTGTCTTAGTTTCAACTAAAAATTAATTTATGAGCATGATATAATGTATATGAAAGACACAAAGTTAGTATAATTTAACTGGAAAATATTCTTTGTATGTACACCGTTTATTGCATATGATTTGCCATAAAGTTGAGATAGGCCGCATATTTCAACATCCAGTGTATAAAGCCCCAACAAAGGTATCCAAGCAAACATATGACATACATACTTTACGTAATACCTCAGAGGAGTCAAATTTCAATAAGACAAAGTCGCCCTAAACTGAAGGGCTCAGTGAGCAATGAACACCGTGTCAAACTCGGGAGCTTGTGCACCGTCTCTGTACAAACACCCTCATTACTACGAAGAAGAGCTTGTGAACGCGGTATGAGTGGGAGTTTCGAAAGTGTTCAGAGAAATCGAGATCGAGACGCAGAGGCAAGTGTTTCTCCTACGAGCGGTTTTTACAGAAGAGTTTGCTTTGCAGTTACTGCTGTCGGGCGAGGATTATCGATCGAAAGCATCTCTTCGTCATCATGTTCAAAAAGTAGGACATGTCTGGAAGGTTGTAATTTTGTTAATCTAAATGTGTTTATATTGCCGCACATTAAAGCCATTGTGAATCACGAGGATTGGAATTGGACATGTGTCGTGGAGGTTTCTGTTAAACCCTAATTTTTGGTAATTCGTTGGTCAAAGGTTCACATCGGAGGAGATAAGTGCTCAAAATCAAGTCAAGGCTTCTGTTCAGCGAAAAATACGTCAAAGTATCTCTGAAGAGGTGAGGCAGTCTTCCATGCTTCAAGAAATGTTCTGGATGGGGCAAGTTGGGAAACGTTTTTGCTTTGACTTTGTGAACTGGAACGTCGCTCTTTTTGTTTTGTCTTGCAGTACCCGGATCTAGAACCTATACTCGATGAGCTGCTCCCGAAGAAGTCCCCTCTTATTGTTGCGAAATGGTGAGTGTTTTTTTCAATGTTCAATTGCTCGGATGTGTGGGCATCCTTCTCGAAGCGCAGGGCGTCACTCTTTGGTACCATAGTCAATCCAGATTTCAACATTGTCACTAAAGTAACGAACGGGACGTGAATACAACTGATGATGATTAGATTGATCTATCAGAATGCATTCAGAAATTCGTGTTCTCATATTTTATCGATTTTCTGACAGCGAATATGTTATGATGTTTACTACTTGCAGTCAAAATCACATCAATCTGGTCGTTGTGAACAATGTTCCACTATTTTTTAATGTAAGGGATGGACCATACATGCCAACTTTGCGCCTTTTGCATCAATGTAAGCACTTATCAACGTTGTCATGGTCCTTCCCAAATCTGCCTTCTTACGTAATGTTTCGATTTATGAAAATTGGTTGAACTTATATAGCATTTTGATGATGGTTGGGCGTGAGCTATGTTTTGTGCTCTCAAATGCCATGTCTACTGAATGAAAATAAGCGTTTTCTGTCATATACGTCTTTCTTTATACATCAGGAAGTGTGTAGTTTGGGGTTTCGAAGTAGGTTCCCAGATTGTCGATGTATTGACGGTGGTCGAATTACAGTTAAATATCTGGAGAGGCTTTCATTGCAGATCCAAGCATTATGAAGATGTTGAGAGTCGATAGAGGAGCGATCAAGTTTGTTTTAGCTGGAGCGAACATTATGTGCCCTGGCCTCACTTCTGCTGGTGGCGCACTAGATGAGGAAGTGCCTGCTGAAGCACCAGTGGTAATAACCTGGAATAAGTACTGCTTTAGGTTTTTAGGACATAGTTCCCATGTATTGGTGACTCCTGAATGTTTCAACGATTTGGTCCCTTCTTCAGGAAGTGGAGTAACATGTTTGTATGCCATCTCTTCTTAGTAAAGTAGAACCTTGCTTCTGATATAATTGTAATGGAGAGGTTTTTGTGCTTATTGTTGTACAATTGAATTATTCCACGTATATAACCTCGTCCACCTATTACTTTTCGATCAATTTGTCAGTTTGTGAGTTTTTTATCTCTTGGAAACGCTGCGGAGTAAACTAGCGACTTCGTTGGAGCTTTCTTTCTTGTGATTGGGTAAACATAATTCTGTGGGCAGAATGGGTGTGAGTGTAAACTCGTGGCGGTCTGCAACTAATGCTGGCGGCACTTCCAACAGGCGATAATGGCGGAGGGTAAGCAGCACGCGCTTGCAATCGGCTACACCAAGATGTCAGCCAAAGATATGTATGTTGAACATATAGCCACCGGAAGCATGACCAGAAATACTGAGTTTTTTTCGCCTACTGTCATATATTGTAGGCAATAGAGCCTGAAACAAAGTCCACAACTCAATCTCTTAGAGTCAAAACTAACTTGTTCAGGCATAATCTCGTTTCTTAACGTTTGCTGTTCACAAAGTTATGAAGGGTTAAAACCCTAAATCTGAAAGCTTTTTTCAATTTCTTTGATGAGCAGAAAGTCTATCAACAAAGGTATTGGCGTGGACAACATGCATTATTTAAATGATGGGCTTTGGAAGGTGAGTGTTGGTGTTATCTGATCTGTGATTCTCCACATGACAGCCTAGTCTCATAACTTCACGCTGTACTACCAAGTTTGGCGTTTGCTCAGATGTAGTGCTCCACCTGTCCTCAGTTGTACTTCTCGGCGTAACTAACTCTGGTCTTTTTTGTGCAGACACTCCATCTGGATTGATCGTAGCAGTCTGGACAGCTAACTTACAGATTTCACAATTGTAGCTTTTTGGATCGTTCTCACAGCTATTTCTCAATGAAAATTCCCTCTCTGCAGGAGTTTTTTCCTTGTTAGTTCAGCTTGGATCTGCTGCAAAGTCTCCAGGTCGGGAAATTTGGTTTTCATATGACTAGGTAACACTAGCAGTTTGAATGCCTCGAGGTTTAGTACCCTTGGCCACGGCCTCTTATGTAGAGAGTTTTGGGAGTCTGTTTGAGCGACAGATATGTTCACCTATCAGAAATGCGTTTGCTGATCCATAAATGATGAACCCGGTCAGGGAGCAGATTACAAAAGTTATTCGTGTGAGCTTATGAAGTCGGACGTTAAGAGTTTTTAATGGACTGAGGAAACTCATGTCATGGTGGTTGAATCTCCCGCAGAAGCTGCGGCGATTAATATTGTTTGTGTCGAATTTGGGTCACATGTAATAATTAATTGAAGAGAACACTGCATGTTTGTCATGTGGATTTGCCTGGCATAGCCTGAAGATCACATCTACGGCTCTGGCTGAGCGCTATGAGTATATAGGAACGAAGGAAAAAGCAAACAGGATCTACTTTAATGAAGTGCGATGAACACAAATTTGATGTTCAGAAGGTTTTCTTTGTGTTGTGTCCCGACTTAATCGACTTAGTTACGAGCGTCATCAATCGTCTAGGGTTTCAAGTGGACCTTATTCTTCATTAGGCTTCACGGAAATCCTTATTTTGATCCTGCTAAAACCATACTTTACTTCTAAGAACGCCGTCGAGTAATCTGCCCATACCCCTCTATATAAATCTGAGGATAGAAGTTCCGAGATAAAGATTCGGAACGGAGGTAAAGCGGAGGATCAAGGGTCTTTTGGGTTTAGGGTATATTTGGGGGTTTAAGAAATGTAGCCAAATAGGTTTATTCCAGAATCCAAGTTGTGGAACTAATGTAACTCAATACTTATATATCATATAAATATCACAATTTGGAATCGATCCTCACCATAATTAAAATTCAAAGTACATTTTCAAGCAATAATGTATTCACAAATCTTAAATATGTCCTGATAACTTACAAATTAAAATTCTCGTTAAAAATTAATAAAATATATCAATTGGATGACTCAAAGTAATGGTAATGGTATTGACAACCACATCTTGAAAATGAGAGAGATTTGTTTGATGGGATCCTCCAGGTTTTGTTTTACAGGATGGTACCCCAATGCCTCGTTATCCATGTTCTAATAAGGAGTTGAGTTTTAGAGAGAGTGCAACGAGTCAACCACACCGGCGGACAGAGTGAACTTCGCCCTCTATCACACTCGTTTTTATATTGTCATTCTGTATCCTGCCACTCCCCCAAGTGACGAGCAAAGAAATGCTCATCCGAAGTTTATTTGTTCGCCACAAATGGGTGACCGCCAGACTTGAACTCAGACCACTTTTCGATACGAGCTCCTCGTCGCATACGCAGGGTTACGGAAGGAGGGAGGCAGCAGAGAAATCCGTGAATCCGTGCGATCGGGAGAATTGAAGCACAACAAATTGCACTTCAGGCAAAATCAATCTTTGTCCCCGTGATAATGCACCAGAAATTTTAATGAGTGATTGATCTCTGATTGTAATCCCCGCATTGTAACTATCAATCATAGTTACAAGAACTATGGCCGAAGTCACACAGTCATTGGAGTCCCATCGGTTAAAACTAAACCTGAGGAGTCCTATCAAGTAAATTACTTTCCGCAGGGGTCCCATCAAGCAAATCTCTCTGAAAATGATTATATATAGCAATTTCGACTATACGATGTTATACCAATTTTGATAATGTGAATATTTTTTTGATTTTTTTTCAAATACATTAATTTTTTTTAAATATCAAAGTTCAAATTGATAAATATGAAAAGATCGGAAAGATGATTAAAGTTAGACTAAAGATTATTTTGTGAGTGATGATGTATTTAAAAGAAAATATCTAGATGCAACTTTGCTCAACTGCATTCACAATTTTAAGATTAAAAGCAAATAAATAATAATGATAATTTCAATTTCTGGTTGTACAATGTAGTAGATTTGAATATCACTAGCATGCTCTAAAATTTATCTTAAATATGCTCTAAAATTACTTGAAATCTATGAACTCCAAGATGAAATATCTACAAAAATATTATATTAGGTTTTTGATACTAAAAATTCTTGAAATAAAATTATTGTTAAATATAAGACAATATAATATTTTAAAATACCATTTATTTCATAATAATCTTTATTACATTTGTTGTAACATCATTATGATACAAATAAACATTTACAATTATATGTCAATGATTAGCAGATGAAAAAACTGCAATATATTCAAAACATAATGATGACATTTGCATCATCTTTCCAAGCCTAAATGTGATTTTTGAACAATCACGTTCATGACTGGATAATGCTAGATAGATTTAATATAAGAATGAATCCAAATTTATAATTACATTTCAATATAAAATGATAATGATTTGTTAAATCATGACAAAAGTGTTTATTTAAAAAAATATCTTTGTGTGAATATCAAGATTACTACTATTATTTTGATCAATATGGCTAAAGAATTAGATGTTGCACTTTAGAATGTACCATGAAATAAACTACAATGCAAATTTTTTATTAGTTCATATTTAAATAGTTTAAAGTTTTTATAGTTTTTTTTAATATTTTATTTAAAAATATTGATATTTTTAGTTTTTTTTTTTTTATCAAATGATGTTGGTAATATGTGAACTTTGCAATGTGATCATTTTTTTTAACCTTTGTTACATCAAAAAGTTATAACCTATAGCATTTGTACATAAGAGTATTGATTCTTTATTGAAAATTTTTAATTTCGTAAAATTAGAAGTATTAAATTAATTAGAAGTTTATATTTTATAATATAAAATATATTTTGACTTTTTCGATACTCATAAATAATATCAACATATGTTGTTCATGTTAGATTCAAATAGTCTAAAGTGAAATGAATAACCAAAAATATTTGTGTTATTAGTTTTTCAGATTATTATGCAAAAAAAATATACATGAAAATAAAAAGTAACATAAATTAAATAATACATTGCATTTTTTATTAATAAATTCTCATAGTTCAATTTAATTTTCATGCAATTACAAAAATAATAAATCAAACTTTGAAAAAACTTCAAACAAAGATATAAAGTAATTGCAAAGTAAAACATCTAAAAATGAATAATAATTTATAATATACTTATGAGAAGTTTAATTTGAACTTCTCATTAGATTGTCTTCTAATCAAATAACATCATTACAAAAAAGACATAAGTACTTATCATATGATCACGGTTTATGATTTGCAACAAAATTTTAATCTTGAAAATAAAAATTACATGATATTAAATTTTGTTTGGAGAATGCTGAACCAGATTTTATCTTGAAGCTTTTAGTATCATAATAATGTTAATAATTTTTTTCATTAAAAAAATCTTTTACCTCAAACTATTTAAACTAACATTAAGAAGCTTAAAACTCAAACTGAAATTGTGGATTTAAAATCCAATTCAAATCTAAATCTTTAATCTTAATACTACTTAAATCTAAAAATATATGTGATCTTATTAGATCTTTTATCAAAAAAATTCATTTTGTTCTTGCATTTGTAAGTAGTTTGAAGATTTAAAAGATTCGTATTTTAATAAAAAATTTATAAATAAATTTAGTGACAATATTTATAATTCAGGTAATTATTTTAAATGAAATATTTGAATATTTTTGTTTCAAAATTCAAAATATTTTAGTAAATTGTGAACAAGAAAAAAGTTTTTGATTGAAGAGAAAGATCTTATTAAGATTTCATGTTTGCTCATGCTTGTCAAAATGATGATTAAAAAGTGTTGAGATTAACTCCGGTTAAGGAGTAACTTCTGGACCTAGCTATTTATAGCTACAACATCGCATGGACTAGGGGTTAATTACTCTGGACTCTATCTTGTACATTAAGTCATTCTCGATAGACTTTGAGTAAAAGACGTATTGGTGTTCTGGTGAATGTAACACTCCTTCCCCATAATGAACCACGTCACATCTTTCTCTCATGAGTGTTTAAGGTTTTTTTGATTTTACCGTTCACAAAAAGCTAAAACATATATATATCTTGATGTTAATTATAAAGCAAAGATAAGTTGTCACCATAATCCAATGAAATGAAGCATGTATTTTTTTAACTAAAAATATTGTCTAATCTTATTAAAATTGCACATTTGGATAAGAAAAAATTTAGATTAATATTGATTGTACTTTGAATTCAAATTTTATTTGAATGAAGTTAAATTTTTCAAGATTTGACACATAACATTTTGCACAGAAATAAAAAATTCATGATTTGAAATTTATGAAAATCACATAATTCAATTGATTGAAGAAATCATCAAAATTAGCAAATAGAAATATTGTAGTTAGAAGTGTTCAAAATTATTCAACATATTGACAAAGATGAATATAGCTATAATCAACAATATACATTATGTTTGATCTATTTATTTTGATCTACAAAAATAAAAAATTTAAAACAGTTATAAAACAATAAATCAAAATTTTTTGACAATAAGTAATAAAAAATGCAACCACTAAGTTAGCCAAAATTCTAAATTAAGTTAATTATTTTGAATAGCTAGATTCATTCATTGTATTGTTTAAATATTTCATGCAAACTCATTTTAAATTCAATTACAAATTTTATGTGAAAGTTTAAAAAATTTTAGAATAAAAAAAATTCTGTGATATGTGCAAGGAAAAATTTAATTTGAAAATATATCTTGCAAGTGTGAATGAAAAATTTTGAAAAATGATACTGCAATATTTAAAGTATAAATTAGCATCAAGACATTCTTCTAATTAAATATTAGAAAAACTTTATCATCTTTATCATTATATTTTATACCTTAGAAATATTTTTTTCAAAATTATACTAAGATTTATATTTTATATGAATTTTTATTTGAACTTGGAAAATCTGGAAATTTTTAATTAGATATAAAATAATTTTGATGAATTTCAAATATTATTTATTATGTACAAATATATCATACAAGGTGATTTATTGACAATGAATTTTATAATTCAAGATTGTCATTGTATTATGATGAAGCTTTTTTTAAATAAATTATTTTACCTTTTTTATATATATTAAAATGATATTTAATGAAGTATCATAAAAGTCAAATATATGCTTAGTATGATTTATGCTTCATTTCATTAATGAAACTTGATGAAGAAAAAATTTATAACAAAATTAAATAACTTTGTTAATGTTTTGTAAATACATATTGTGTCAAGTTAATTTTTTTCAGAATATAGAAATAAATTAATAAAATAAAAATCATGATACACTATACTACGATTTCTTCATAATGCATCAAATATCATACTTTAAATTTGAAAATTGCAATGAAGATAAGTATAACTAATATTTACTAAGCCAAATTTTAATCTTCTAACTCCATTTCTTTTAGTGTTGTT